CTTCTCTGTATGGTCTATCGACGAACTGGTAGCTGTTTCTTCTCTGTATGTTCTATCGACGAACTGGTAGCTATTTCTTCTCTGTATGGTCTATCGACGAACTGGTAGCAATTTCTTCTCTGTATGGTCTATCGTCGAACTGGTAGCTGTTTCTTCTCTGTATGTTGACTTAGGTTTTACCGTTAGACGTAACAAACGGGGGGGGGGGGAGGAGGGGGGGGGGGGCGAAGCTACAATTTAGTCTGTGGAAAATGGTGCTCCAATGAATGACCAGGGGATCTGGTCGACGCTCAATCATTAAGGGAAAGGCGAGACGGATATAGACTCAGACAGGTACTGGAACCATCGGGACTGGAATTCGCTTGCTGCTGAAGATGGTTACGGCGTACTTATGGGAATTCTTCGAGTGCTGTGATGTCGATTCTTGATTCAACATTCAACAACCATGTGCCAAGCATGGGGAGCTACAACGTTTACTTAATGTCTATGTGGTGAAGTGCAGCTGACAAAACGTTTAACAACGCTGGGCTGTCGTGCAGAAGACACAGGTTCGAATCTTCAGTAAGGTTAGGGATATTTTCCTGTCGAAGGAAACAAATAGAATCCTAACCTTCACGCTTGGTGGCGACAGCACTAACCACTTGGCCTTAAATCCCTATGCTCAAAGATCCCCCTACCTACATCGCAAATGTTTTCAATACAGGTAGTCAATTTGTCTAGAAAAAAAAACTTCAATAGCAAAAAATGCTGGGGTTGGTTCTGCAACGTCCTGTAAAGGATTCACAACTAGCTTTTGACAGGTAGTGTGTTCATATAGACAATGTGGTGCGCTTACTAATGCTGATCTGCGGTTTCTTGGTGTGCTATTGATCTTCTTTTAGCTTTTAATGCCACAAACGTGCGCTTTCATATTGATTCCATTATGAAGATACCGTGAAAACGCATGGTAACTAACGTAAAAGTGTTATTCAGGCAGGCCGCGATGAGAGTGATGTTATGTCAAACACTTGTTAGATGATAATAATACTGATGCTGTTGCTGATGCCGATGATGATGCTCATGATGATGATGATGAGTATAATGATGATGGTAACGACGATGATTGATGCTATCTACCAAATGACCCCAAGAGGTTTTAAAGTGGTTTTACGATAGTTTTGCTTCATTTATGTAGATAATTATTTACCATAGTGTGATGTTACTTTTGCATGTGAAATCTTCCTGTCCTCTTCGTGTCCATATAGATCTTTGATTCTATTTCTGTTCATGTCATTGCCATGACTTCTGTGTTTTTCCAAAATTGATTTTTCCTACTATAATGTGAGTAAGTGATGTTGGAATAACCTTTAGCAAAGTTTCCATGTGTTTTACCCAATATAAATCGAAACTTACAAGTGATTGATTTTCATACGAGAGAACAGAAGAAAGCAAAAGTGTCATAAAAATGCCTAGCAAGGAGTTACCGAAAATGGCGGGGTTCACGTCTAGTTTTCAAATCCACGTAATCTTTCTAAAACTATGGGTGGACTTATATGGTGAGACAGCGATACAAGTGGGAGGAAAACATTGAGAGATGGACGGACATCAGTAAAGAGTGTACACCCAGGACCAAAGACTACAAGCTGGAGAACCGTTGCAGGCAACTTTTATTATGGAGGAGAACCGGGTAATAACAGTGCCATTGCTTCTCACAAAGTATCTATTACAGTAGAGCTGGGAAGAAATCATGCTTAGAAAGTGCCGGTGTTGCGTACTATTACGTATCGTCAGTGGTGAAATGTCAGTACTTAAGGGACCTCCATATATTTGCAGACAAGTGCGGCCTCTCTCTTAAGCTCTGATTTCCAAATGCCCCAGCAATTCACAACCAGGGCTGCCGAAGGTGGTACTTTGGTTCAGTATGACCCATCCGGCAAACTGCACTTTTAGTATCACATCTTATGTTTTAGTACTTTAAGAAATTATGCATCACTGTTTTCAATATTAGAACTGTATCTAGATCCTTAAAAAAAAAAAAAAAAGCCTTAGTGAAGGAAGGTAGACGTCGACTAGACCGTTGGTCAAGCAATTTAAAAGCCTTGTTAAAGAAGAACATTATGGGCAAATAAATAAAGATTCGAGGGAACTAATAGTGCAAGATTAACTATCTCCAGCTGAAAAACCACTAGGAGATTTCTGGTTTAGAATTTCAGAAGAGAAATTTTGAGATTAAAAATCTATTCAGTTAGTGATGTGTTCATGACATCACCGTTATTTGCTCCAGCATATTAATCTCAACGACTGGAAGCCCAAACAAAACAGCTTTGTAACAAATTGAAAATGGGTACGGGGAGGGGAGAGTGAGGTAGCAATGAAAAAAAAAAAAATAGCAGCTCTGATCAAATAAAAGGTATGTCAATTTGCACACAGACACACACACACTATATTTTTTTTTAAAAGCGTTAAAACGTCTTTAAAAACACTCCGAACTCCAATCCATACATTTGTGTGTGTGTGTGTGTGTGGGGGGGGGGGGGTACGTACGTGCGTGTGTGCTCTTAAAGACGTTTCAACGTTGTCGTTTTTAATTAAAAATTATGGCATGCTTTGGGTCATGCTGGCTGAGTAATTTCGGCAACCCTGATGAAGACGTGATCAAGCTCGTCACAAAATCGCAATGAGATATCTCCCGTGGCCAAACAAGTGCACGCCTATACCGTGACATTTGTCGTTATCGGCCATGTTGGGTTAGTTGTGTATCCTTTACAGAACGTTGCAGAAGCAACCCCAGGAGCCCCTGGCGGTTGTGTGGTTTCATTATGCAAATTTACATCCAGTAGTTTGCCATAACTGAACGGTCGGCTCCCTGATACCACTGTCGAAACCAATGCAAGGAGTATGGCCCGCAGTTGGGATCGAACCCGGTACCCCGGCATTACGAAGCGCTCGCATCGACTTAGCCACAGAAGTGAGATCGGCCATGTACGTCAACTTAAAACCTGGATCGTGACTACAGCCATGTTTCCCCGAAAAAATAAGCCCAAGTCTTATAATAATGTTTGCTCCAAAAGACACCTGAAGGGTTATTTTCATGGAATGCTTTGGGATTCGTCATCATTGTCCTCTTGTGCTTGTATATCTCAGATAGGGGTCACAGCCTGTTCCTCCAGATAGGGGTCACAGCCTATTCCTCCATTCCCTTGTATCCCGTGCAGTCCCTTTGATGGATAGAACCCAGTCCACCACTTTTGGCCTCTCTTATCAACGTTCGTTTTATGATTTCTTTTGGACGTTCTCTCTCTCAATCCTTTTGTTTCCTATTTTAGAGCCTGTTTGGTTGTTCTTTACTAGTTTTTTTTTTCAAGATGTGTCCATCATAGCATCATTTTTTAATGTCTTATAATTGTTGTTCTCTGTGGTTGCACACCATTTTTCTTAACTTCACCACACTTTAATTTGTGTCTTTTGACTGTAATAAAATCATAATCGTACCTAGTATAGAGGAAGACAGCGAGAGAAGATTCTTGACAGTCTTGCTGCATGAAATGGAGGTGTGCCGGCACACGAACTGATACATGATGCAGGAGATCGCAGATTGTGGAGAGGCATGATCGCCCATGCCAGTTGGTAAGGCACCAGATGATGATTCCTACCCCAGCTCGCCCATTAAGCCTAGCGTGTAGCACTGTCAAAGACAATCGTGAAAAGATAATGCTCTTTCGAGCAAGAATCTTTATATGAGGAAAACAAAAACGTTTTCTGTCGCCTCAATCCTGTCTTTTAGAGCAAGTTATCATATGATTAAGTGTTCTGGTACTAAGATTCTATCAGGAACCGAAACATTTGTTCAGAAACTAATTGTTCCAGATGGAAGACGTTCAAAAATCTAGGTTCCACTGTTGCTGTGTATAATGTTCCACGTTTGTTATCCGTTTCAAGATAGTTTGACCAGAGAATCTGGTAGACACTCGTTGCTCTTATAAAAGGCAAGGCGAACATATAATTAGTGAGCGAAATTGCTTTGTATGTGACAATTATAAAGCTGCAAATTTGAAAGATCTTTGCCTGGTTTTAGAAGTAAGACATGATATAACAATATCTAGTTTGAGAATGGAGGTGGAGGCGGTCACCAAGGGCTTTCCTTGTCTTGAGCGAAAGCTGTGCACAAATGTCGTAGTTGTGACTGACTAACAGAGCATGTTAAGAAAGGTGGAGATATGTTTGCTCCATGCAGAGTGGCTTTAGAGGTCCCGGCTGGTTAGTGTCCTTTGCATATTTTCTGCAGGTTATGTAGGTTTGTTGGTAAGCGAGGGGACACATATACTGGCTGGTTCTACATCACTTAGTGGTGAACAGATGCAGAACAAGCTAGATGTTGTAAGAGTCCTTTGGAAGCGAGTGAACAGTGCGGAGGCACATTTAAATAATTCTGGGGAGAATGGTACTGCAAGGGGCGACCAGGGGACCTGACCAACGCTTAATACTCAGGGGAAAGGTGAGATGGATTTACACTTATGATTGTTACTGGTAACATTGGCACTGGAACTCTGCGCTTGCTGCCAAAAAAAAAGGGTATGTAGCGTTTCTTGAAATGTCCCAAATACTGTGATGTCGATTCTTGGTTTAGCATCGGAAAACGCAAAGGGATAAGGCAAGTCAGACACACAACCGCACTGCTGCCGCTTCCACTTAAATTGGCTGGTGAAGATGGGAACGGAGCAGCTATGGAAATGTCCCAAGTGCTACGATATCGGTTCGGAACTCAAGAAAAAATCAACATGGACACTTAAGTCCGTGTTCACCGTTTACATTTAAATTCAAGCCCAATTCTCGAAAAAAAAAATTCTGAATTCAAATGTTTTGGACATATTTAAAAATGTCAAATATAAAAGACGAGAAGTATAAAATTAAAGAACCGAGGAGAAGCAGAGGTAAATAATTAAACTTGATAAAAGCGACTTCTAACATTCTCTTCGGGTTTATTTTTGCTGCCTGACGTCACAGGACTTGAGTGATTCAAGATGGCGGCAAGTGATGGCGATGATTCTCTCTACCCGATCGCGGTGCTCATCGACGAATTGAGGAATGAAGATGTTCAGGTACTGGTTTAGTAGCTTGCGCTGTCACTTTAATTTTTGTAACATACATTTTGAGGAAGTACAGTTGAAAATATTCATTTCCTATGTGCCATTATAGCTACATTTTGAATGGTGTTATGTCCGTCAATTCACTTCAATCTGAAATAAAATTGTCTTGAATTCGTTCTTTTATTTATTATATATATTTATATATAAAATGTAATTTTCACCATCAAATACTACAGATTGCAGATAGTTAAAATGTCTGTTCGCGAAGAATGCTCAGGTTAGAACTATGCCATCATGGCCTCTGCCGTCTTCTCTATATAGAATAATAATAGATAAGGCAATTTGGCCAGAGCACCCTAAAGAATCTGGCCTCTCAAATATTGAAATAGTCAAATACCAGTAGTTTACTAGTAGCCATATCATCCGTATGCAGTATTCAGGGTTTGCTTATTATATTAACTTAAAAATTATTTACGCCTGTTTTTTTTTTAATGGCTCTCATCCGAACTGCGTCATAATATTATGGCGGCCATAAAATATCTAAAAATATCAGAACGGGGCTCAGTTCTATTAAAAATATGCCAGCTCTGTATAACGAAAAAAATGCTCTAACAGGGTCTCATCGATATGTTACTTGCGGACTTGTTTCTGTGACTGTGCCTCACCGCGACCGTATCCGATAAAAACCGACTGTTGACAATTTCGAGCGTTTCTGCAGATGATACTAGCACACGATAATAGCGACCGTTGACAATTTAAAAACATTACAGATGATGAAAGCGATGTGGCGGGTAGACCACGCGCTCCCACACAGATTAGCAATACTGTTCGTCCGATTGAGGATTTAGCAGCGGTAGATGTCAGACCTGCCGACCTGTATCCTCACACTTTTCGGCATGCGCAAAAGGCGATTAACCTTACCGCCGAGCGTATCCCCCACGCCGCTACGCGCAGCGAGGATGGGGGTTAAACTAGATGGCTGGGACTCACGAGCAGCAGCTACCGCATCTCCTGCAACTTCCTCCAACTAATTTGCCCGTGAGTTCCAGGCACCTAGTTTAGCCCCCCTTCTGCGCCGCGGGTAGCGGCGTGGGGGATACACTCAGTGGTAAGGTTAATGGCGTTTTGCGCATGCCGAAAAGTGTGAGGATACAGGTCGGCAGGTCTAACATCTATCGCTGCTAAATCCTCAATCCGACAAACAGTATTGCTAATCTGCGTGGGAGCGTGTGGTCTACCCGCCATATCGCTTTCTTTGTCTGTAATGTCTCAAAATTGTCAACGGTTGGTATTTATCGTCTGCTACTACAGTGTGCAATGTTGATATTGTCAAGTAATGCTAGTTTTGCCGCGATTTGTTCCTTTGCAGAAAGTCCGTATTTTAGATATGCCTGAGCCCCGTTCGGATATTTTATGGCCGCCATAATATTATGACGCCATTCGGAGGAGAGCTTTTTTTAAAATTAATAAACAATATCTAGAAACCTCGGAGATGTGGTTTTACAAAATAATCCATAGAATTCCTTGTTGTATAGAAAAACAACTGAGATGTTTTGAAAGAGTCAAGTCCTCAGAGATAATTGTCATAACTTCTTCTTCGCGTTCACCAGCTGTAAACTCTGGCGGAAAGTTCTGGTTGCTCGTCCACTACTGAACTGCAGTCCTGCTCCAGAACCTGAGTGTTGCGTGTGTATCAGTTTTACAGATATCATTCTCTTGAATACAGACTGTTGGTTCCTTGCCTCTCCGGCAGATGCACTCCGACTTCAAAGGAAGCTCCCCAATTAGTTGACTCTTACGGCATGCTTTTGGGTAGGCAGTGGGTCTATTCTTGTTTTCCCCACAATGAGGCCCCGGAACCCACAGGGGGGATTGTCATAACTAACTTACCACAAATATCAGAAAGAGACAGTTATCATTTTTATGTCATGTTATGAGAAAAGGGAAAATGGAATATGTTGTGACCACTGGAAAGAGAGACAGAGGAAGACAGCACGAGAAGATTGACTGCCTTTTATCATGGCTGTCGTCAGACAAACTGATGCCTGCATCTGCAGATCAGATTGTTTAGAGGCATGATTACCCATGCCAATCAGCAAGGCACTTAATGATGATAATTTGATTTTACTCTAGGAATTATTTTACCACTTGAACATCTGCTGTGAGCGCCTGCATATAAATTAAGAGATTATTATTGTCGCCTGCGTTTTAACATATGAAGTTTTTTTCTTTTGGTCACCCCCAGTTGCGACTGAACAGTATTAAAAAGCTCAGCACCATCGCTCTAGCGTTGGGGGTAGAGAGAACTCGATCGGAACTGATACCATTTCTGACTGGTAAGTGCTCCCTATGTTTGAGATAACAGAATGCTTTGAGATAATGGCACTATCACACAATCACAATAATCAGCTGAATGGTGTTATTATTGAACAGGTAATTTTTGATCAGCTGATGGGCTGCAGTACTTGGCTGATGGTCTTACATCATTTGAAATAAAAATCTTTTCAACTTGGATTTTAATCTCTGTCTCTATATCAGTGGTATTTTACCTTTTTTCCCCCAGGTGGCGCCCCCTTAAATATATGACAAAATTCCCACCCCAAACTGAAAAAAAAAAATGTGATTGAAAAGAGGACAGACCAAAAAATCACAAGCGCTGTTAATAACAAGAACTTGAAGAACATATTCTGATAAATCAAAGTCAAATAATGTAATAAATAATATTCTTGACTTTTTTTTTATAAATATTTTTTTTAAAATAGTGATTTTCAGTTTAACTGAAGAAGCAAAATGTTGCAACAGGCTGTTAAAAATATAAATGCACTAAATTTTAAAATGGCTTAATACATGTGTGGGTTTGGGTTCCCGTTGTGAGGGAAAACAAGAATAGACCCAGTGCCTCCTCAACAAGCATGTTGTGAGAGTAAACTAATTGGAGGCTTCTTTCGAACTCAGGAGTGCGTCTGACCGAGAGGCAAGGGACCAACAGTCTGCATACAGTTAGGTCAGATCTGTTAAACGGATGTGCACGCAACACTCAGGTTCTGGAAGAAGACTAAAGTCCAGAGGTGGATAAACATCGAGAACTGTCCACCAGCGTTTACAGCTGGTGAATGCGAAAAGGCAGAAATAAGAAAATTTGCTTGAAACCCTCCTTGAAACCTTGAAAATACTTAAAATGGCTTCTGTCTCATTGTCTCATTGATAACGCTACTTCCATTATTTCATCTGTTGTCACACAGCATTTGTATTTTGTCTAAAACACCTGGTTTGTTTAAAGCACTTATACATGGTATGAATATACATTTAAAAGCAAGGAGGTGTATAGAGCCTGTATACATTTGGCCCTTCCAATGGCTCATCTTTCATTGGTTGGTTATATTGTATCTATAAAGCATGTTGTGTTCATAATATGAATATAAAGTAAATACAAGCAGCAGTTCTAGAGGTAATTCTAATGTTTGGAAGGATTTAACAGACAGATGGCAGATTGCTATACAGTGACAATGCAGACCATTTAAGGTGATCTCAGGTGTGGCAAATTTCTATTCTGAAGAACATTTTCATTATCGCCTGCAATTCTTCTTGCTTAAATTCTTATCTGGATAAGATGGATTTTTTATAAAAACTATTTCATTGGTCCCCGGTGAGTTCTCCTAATCAGGTGTGCACTGTGTGTGGAATGTTGAGAATCCCTAGTCAGATAACAAGAACCATGGAGGTGAAAATGACTTATTTGTGTCTTCTAATTTCAGATACAATTTACGATGAAGACGAAGTCCTGCTAGCGCTTGCCGAGCAGCTTGGGAGCTTCACACCGCTGGTTGGGGGTCCAGAGCATGTCCATTGCCTGCTTGTAAGTAGGATTCATTCATCATCATCATCCTTGTGATTCTTCATTTGTTTGCTGAACTCTTTTTCTTCTTCGTGTTCACCAGCTGTACACTTTGGCGGAAGGTTCTGGTTGTTCGTCCACTTCTGAACTGCAGTCCTGCTCCAGAACCTGAGTGCTGCGTGTGCATCAGTTTTCAGGTCTGATTCACTTGAATGCAGACTGTTGGATCCTTGACTCTCAGGCAGACGCACTCCGACTTCAAAGGAAGCTCCCCAATTAATCGACTCTTACGACATGCTTTTGGGGAGGCAGTGGGTCTATTTTTGTTTTCCTCACAATGGGACCCGGGAACCCATACAGGGAGCTTGTTGAACTATAACAGAGAGCATGATTTGTGATGGCAATGTGTTATTTTTGTTGTATGCCATCTTCATTGTTAAGTAGCCCATTTGTCAGTTTATAAAGATGTATAAATATTAGCTTTGTATGTGTGTTTGCTGACAGTCTATCAGCCACACATGTGTTCTTTCCCTTAAGTTCTTATTTCTGGAATTTGAAAATTGTTTTCAAATTCTTTTTAAAATAAAGCATCCTTATAATTATTTGAAACAACCCTAGGAAACTAGAGGTAGAAGCATACAAAATGAGTATTCTTGGCCAGTGTTAATAAAAATCTAGGTACTTGAATCCCTAGACTACCAAGCAGACAGGCAAGCCTTAAGTCCACAGCATCTTCACAGCTGTCACATTGCAAAAAAAGAAAACAACTAATTTTTTAACCCTCTTTGGTTCACTGTTGCGGGCAAATGTAATTTTTTTTTTTATGTGAAGGAATATAAATACCAGGTACAAACGAAGCAAATAATTAACTGCTTTCTTAACTTTTGACCACAAACGGTTTTGAAACTAGTTAGATTTTCACCCTTCAATATCTCACATTGTTTAGGGTAAATATAGTACTGCCCACTATTTCTCCACAGTATGTGGCACCAGCCAGTACCCCACAGCACTTGTATAGACAGACACAGTATAGACAGACACTGTATAGACAGACACTGTATAGATGGACACAGTATAGATGGACACAGTATAGACAGACACAGTATAGACAGACACAGTATAGACAGACACTGTAGAGACAGACACAGTAGAGACAGACACAGTAGAGACAGACACAGTAGAGACAGACACAGTAGAGACAGACACAAGACACTGTAGAGACAGACACAGTAGAGACAGACACTGTAGAGACAGACACAGTAGAGACAGACACTGTAGAGACAGACACTGTAGAGACAGACACTGTAGAGACAGACACTGTAGAGACAGACACTGTAGAGACAGACACTGTAGAGACAGACACTGTAGAGACAGACACTGTAGAGACAGACACTGTAGAGACAGACACTGTAGAGACAGACACTGTAGAGACAGACACAGTAGAGACAGACACAGTAGAGACAGACACAGTAGAGACAGACACAGTAGAGACAGACACAGTAGAGACAGACACAGTAGAGACAGACACAGTAGAGACAGACACAGTAGATACAGACACAAAAGACACATGTCATTAAAAACTTAGGGGGGGGGGCTTTTTGAGGTGACAGGTTTAAGTGCTAGTGCACATACTCTTGATATTCTCACTGTGACTTGTTACCTTCTATCTTTCAGCCTCCTCTAGAAAGTCTAGCTACGGTTGAGGAAACAGTTGTCAGGGACAAGGCCGTGGACTCGTTGAGGATAATCGCTGATCAGCATAGTCAGAGTGACCTTGAGAACTACTTTGTGCCCTTGGTCAAACGACTTGCCGCAGGTACTGCTCACTGTAACAAACAGTTTACGGCAGATTATTAGGTTATAAATGAAATGGCTAGCATAAGGAGTAGTTGAGAAATTCTGTAGTGCAGTTACTAACTAGCTCAATAAAGTAAGTTTGTTCGTTCGTACATTCATAAATACATTTGGGGTCTACATCTGGGGTGTTTTAAGATATAGGTGGGGTTTATCTACCATCATTGTCTTGGGCCTACAGGCTGTGTGAGCATAGAGCGATTGAAGTAAGAGTTACATGTAATTATTGTTGTGACAGCCCTATTTTGTAAAGAAGAGACTGACCAAGAGTTACTAGCTGTTGACTGCACATTGACAGCAGTCATAACGATTTAGTGATCTTTAACCTGTAACATAACGAGTTAGTGATCTTTAACCTGTAACATAACCAGTTAGTGATCTTTAACCTGACACTAGACAATGAGTACAATTCCCCCATGCACGCTGAACTGACCAGAGGATAAAAGATTGAAATGTTGGGATCAGAAAGACAGACAAGGTTTCGACTTGTGAGACGAGGACTGTGTTATTGTTATGTCTGTCACTATAAAGTTGTGGCAGTTAATTTTGTTATTGCAAGTGTAGTTCTGTAAGCTACAGCCCAGCGTGCTGACCTCTGCTTTAAGGATGTGCTCGGTAGAAGAAGAGTCTTGAAGCCAATATGATTATTATTTTAATAACCTTTCAAAGAAATCGGAAGTCATGTCTGTGTTTTTTGTTGGTGTATCAAGATTTCAGTCTGCAGGATTGGCATCTAAAGGATGAGAATTTTACAGGTAGAAATCCCCAGAAACCCTGTTCAGTCATATAGTTATACAGTACAGTTGTACTGGTAAAGTAAGTGAAGGTCCCTTTACCACACCTTTAGGCATATAGGGCTAGACCTATATTGTTGTAGACCAATCGGAAGATGGGTAATGTGGTCAGCATCATGCCGGCCACTTTTACTTCCCGGAACTGCACCTGGTACCCACTCAAGGCTGGGTTGATCTGGAAGTCAAGGTCATTTTTTTAAAAACTCCGGCTTCGCCAGGGAGCAAACCCACAACCTTCCAATCCGCATGCGATCGTCTAGCCACTGCGTCCGGGCGACTCCCACAGTTGTACTGGGGCACCACAAAATGGTTACGATGTAACCTGTAGTCAATTATGGGTGAGCTAATATGTTTATTATGCACTTTAATTACTTTTATAAAGATATTTTCTAGATGATGCTTGTTGTGTTTCAGGTGATTGGTTTACGTCTCGGACATCAGCTTGCGGTCTTTTCTCTGTTTGTTACAAACGGGTCTCCACTAATGTCAAAACAGAGCTGCGACAGTGAGTTGGTTTTCTCCCACTTATTTACAGTTTTTGTTTGATTTGTTGAATGCAGTGGCAAGGCATGATGTGTTTGCATGTGTGTTAGCAGTTAACAGTTAGACTTGAGAAGGTATTACATATTTTCCTCCACGTCGCTTTACTGTTAAGTGTAGACATGTGCAGCTGGTATTGTACATTTTGCTGTGTTAATATTTTTAATAAGCGTTACATGCTCTGTAGAACATAAACCAAGTGGCATATTTGTAATAAATAATAACCAGAAATAAAGAATAATGAAATAATAAATGTTTTTTTGCAGTGGAATACATGCATGCCTCATCGCTGTTTTTATTAGTCACTACTTTTATTTAGTGCAGCCTGCGATGGCGAAGAATAGAACGACTTGGCGTGAGTTGAGGGCCTGTGCTGAATTGGGGGAGCTAGAATGGCAGCAGTTTTGTTGTTGTGTTAGAAATGCTCAACATTTTTGTTTTGTTTATTGATTACATTTACTGTACTTGTTAACCCTGTTACCAAAAGAAAGCACAAACTCAGCATTTATTTCTGTGACTTATTTCCTATAAATCTGTCATTTCTGTTCCGGATAAGCCTATAGTAATGTATGTGAATACATTTATTAGAAATAGCAGGGGGGGGGGGGGGGTCACATGAACAGAAGATCCTTTGACAAGACATTTTTATATCATAACTTGCCCTAAGCCTAAATATTAGAATTAGAGAAGGCCATTGTATAAGTTACCTGAGAAGTTTTTTTTTTATTCAAGCTATTGGGAATGTATTCTATTGATTTGCCAGGTTCATGTTTAGTATTCCCTTAATATAATTAGAGACATTTGTTTTTAAAATTAAGATAGATAAATTAACAATTTTTAAACTAAATGATTTGAAGAATTTCTGTGTGTTCCTTCCTGTATACATAAGTGTTTCAAGGGTGAAAGGGCTATTATTTATTATTCAGTTAAATATTATACACCATAATTGTTGATTGCTCTGTATATTTTTAAGTTTGCTATTTTATTTGTGTATGTTAGCCACGTCAGCTCTGTGGCTAAGTCGATGCGAATGCTTCGTAATGCCGGGTTGCCCGGGTTCGATCCCAGCTACGGGCAGTGCGCCTTGCGTTGTTTTAACAGTGGTATCAAGAAAGCCAACCATCCAGAAAGAAATTGCAAACTACTGGACGTAAATTTGCCTAGAGAAACCAAACAACAGAGCCAGGGGCGGCTGGGGTTGGTTCTGCAAGGTCCTGTAATGGATATGCAACTAACCAATGTTAGCCACATTTATTGATTAAAAATTTTAAAGTGGATCAGCAACCAGGATTTTCTGCCAGATTTTGCAAACAATGAACATGAAAAAGAATAAGAAAAATAAAATAATCCGAACACACAGTTGAAGATAAGAAACTTTAAATTCAGTAAATTTTCCCCATCAAATATTAGACCCAAGCTTTAATTTGCAAGTGTTGTGTCGACAGGAATTTCCGTAACTTGTGTGCTGATGATACGCCTATGGTTCGACGAGCCGCTGCAGGCAAGCTGGGTGAGTTTGCCAAGGTGGTGGAGTCGGACTATCTCAAATCTGACTTGATCCAGCTGTTCAATCTGCTGGCTCAAGATGAACAGGTAAGTGTGTGATAAGTCAGGGTGAGGTTAAACGATGGTCGGTTTGTGAGAGGTTAAACATAGTTTGATGTCACATGCAGCACTTTACAGTGGTTAGTGTAAGGTTAAACGATAATAGATTTGTGAGAGTTTAAGCATAGTTTGATGTCACATGCACTAGTAAGCTAGCAAACTGTTGAACACAGTGGTTAACGTACGGTTAAACACTAGGGAGGTTAAACAGTGAGAGGTTAAACATAGTATGATGTCACCTGCACTAGTAAGCTAGGGAACTGTTAAATAAAGTGGTTAGTGTAAGGTTAAACACTAGGGAAGCTAATCAGTGATAGGTTTGTGAGAGGTTAAACATAGTGTGATGTCACATGCAGTAGTGAGCCAGCGAACTGTTAAATACAGTGGTTAGTGTAAGTTTAAACACTAGGGAGGTTAAATAGTGAAAGGTTTGTGAGAGCTTAAACATAGTTTGATGTCACATTCAGTAGTAACCTAGCGAACTGTTAAATACAATGGTTAGTGTATGGTTAAACACAGTGGGAGGTTAAACAGTGAGAAGCTAAATAATGATAAGTTTGCAAGAGGTTCATATTGTTAATCAGAGAAGCAAACTTTTTGCAATTCTGACTCTTAAATTTTCCAACACTATCGGATCCTTTAGTTTATGGATGTCGTATTTCAGTCGTATGATCTTGGCACGATGTTCGTGGTGGAGTCTAAAATTTAACAGCAACCTATTGTGGTCACCTCCGATATCAGCCCCTGGATAGCTCCTTGCCTTTGCCTTGTTTATCCCAGATTTAAAATGTTTGTGGACTAGAATGTAGTCAGTTTGATTGTGATGGTCGCCATTAGATGAATGCCATGTCCACATTGTTGATGACTTGTGCTTGTTTACAGTATTAGCTAATGCAGAATTCCAGCAGGCTGAATCCTCTTTCATTGGTGATTTTGTTGCAGAAAGGTCCATATGTGTCTTTCCAGTCTACTTGCGCATCTGTTCCTACTTTAGCATTTCAATCTCCCTGCATTATCAGTTGAGTTGTCATCGTAGTCTGTAGTTGGGGCATAGACTTGTGTGACTGTCATATTAAAAGTAAAAGGGGTTGCATTTAAATGTTTTGAGAAAAAGGTTTGTAAATATTCAGTCATATATACGTAAGGCCTGTGTAAGATTAAAATATATTTATGGTAGATTAACCTCATGAAGACGTTTGTATGAAAGTGAAAATTATATTTAAATCCAGTATATTGACAATAGCTTTATATTTTCATGTTGTCTAGTGTGTCCTGCCGTCTCACTGCTTCTTTCTGTGAAGATCAGTCAGTTTAATTTATTATGCCAGAGGTGATAAAATGTGGGAAGCTAAACAAAAAGATAAGTATATCTATTTAAATAGGAAAAGTGCATGTGTAAGGGGCTACACAATAAAAAAAAAGGGGGAGAGTAAGGTTGAGACACTGACGCAGACAGACAGATTGATGTTGTTATTATGTTTAAAATAAGGCGAAAAGAGTAAACTCACCACGCAGAATCAATATTGTCTGTTGTCTGTATCTGATGTCTGTGTGTGTGTGTTGCAGGATTCTGTGCGATTGTTGGCTGTTGAGGCAAGTGTGAGCATCGCTTCATTGCTCTCTACTAACGACACTGAACAGTTGGTGATGCCCACCCTCCGCCAAGCAGCAGAGGATAAGTCCTGGCGAGTTCGCTACATGGTTGCGGATAAATTCACTGAGGTAAATAGTTTCTTTACATAGCTGCAGATAACTTCACTGAGGTGAGTATTACATGGTTGCAGATAAATTCACTGAGGTAAATAGGTTTTTTTACATGGTTGCAGATAAATTCGCTGAGGTAAATAGGTTTTTTACATGGTTGCAGATAAATTCACTGAGGTAAATAGGTTTTTTACATGGTTGCAGATAAATTCACTGAGGTAAATAGGTTTTTTACATGGTTGCAGATAAATTCACTGAGGTAAATAGGTTTTTTACATGGTTGCGGATAAATTCACTGAGGTAAATAGGTTTTTTACATGGTTGCGGATAAATTCGCTGAGGTGAGTAGTTTGTTACATGGTTGCGGATAAATTCACTGACGTAAGTAGACATTCAGCATGTAAGGTGGTTACATTTTTTCTCACCTTGCCTGAAATACTGGAAAAGTATTTTAGGATTCTTGCCGATGCTAGAGAGTTTGTGCATTGTGCTAAGATATTTCGGACTTGGGCTTAAGTTGGAAGTAGAAAGGAGCACTTCTGGGTTACTACCCTTGTGCCATGATTTTGATTCGTTTTTTAAACTAAGCCAAACCATTGCATTGTCTGCTGTACCAGATGTGGCTGGAAATACAATTTCCCAGTTAATGCCACATTGTTTATCTAATGACGAAAATATAGTTTTTTTTTAATGTGCAGAAGACTTCACAGTACTTTAGGCAGGCATGCCTGCAGCAAAAGTGCCAAAGCTGAATATATTATGAAAAACAAGCCTGTATAAGTCATATTTTGGTGGCTCTGCAGCTTAGAGTAGCACAGCTCTCTTCTTTGTTGCGTATGTTGTTGTCACAGCCAGGTTCGTCTTTAGGTTTGCTACAGGAGGAGTCGATTGGAAGATTATAGACGAGGAGAAAGATGGTCGTGTCGATAGTGGCGATGATGATGATGTCTTGCTAGCTGCATGCTTCTCACGTGACTCTGATGCTTGTTTAATAAAATGGCTGGAAACATCAGTTTTCGTCTACACTGTCTTTATTGTGATACTTTAACAATTTCACAAATACATCAGTGATATTCTGTGTAGCGCTGTGTTCTCTCTATGGCTAAATACTCGTAAGTTTGCGTTGTGTTCTTTATCTCTAGTTACTTTGTTAAACTGGTTCTAGTGTCTCTGGCTTCTAGTGCTGTCAGCTACTAATGGCTTGATCGTCGGCTTTAACATCTCAATAGTGTTCCTAATATGTCTCTGTTCTCCATGGATCCATGTATCTTGTGTGTCGTCTCTGTAGCTCGATGTCTCGTTTCACGTCTGCTCTCCAGTGACTGTCTTCGAGGTTCAATATGAACGGCTGCTCTCCTTCCAGTGTTGAGCTGGCATCAAGGATCATTGAGACTAGTTGCTCGTCCTCTGAGTCTCAACGACTGAAGGCTTCTAGTGTTGGGCTTACATCTCTACCACTGAAGGCTGTCTTTAGAGTCCATGTGACTGGTCTCTCTCTCTCTTGAGTCTTGTGGACTTAAGAATTGCTCTGGGGTGCTTTGTTACTCGTTATTTATGCTTGGATGCTGGAATGCTAGGTATTTGTTTTCTTCTCACTTTTTCTGTTTCTAGAATATTCTAGTACGTCTCAACTTGTTTACTATGTACGTTCTCACCGTGGGATTTTCTAAAAATATCTAAAGTGCATCGGATTTCATCATCCTATTCTACGCAGATATAGTAGTTAAACTGACAATTGAGGTCATAGAAGTTTAAAAAAAACAAATACAATTGTGTTTGCTTTGATAGGGCATGACAGTTAGAAGTTGCAGTCAGAATATTCCATGTCCCCGTGAGAATTAACAATTGCTGCAAAAAAGTGGCGGGAGATATGCTGCACAGACCCCGTGGAGTTGATACTGGGTCTTCTTTGTTAGCATCTGGGCTTGTAGTTTACAGCTAGACTGTGATGTGTGTTTAGGTCCAGCATATCCAGTCAGCAAACTCATTGTTAGTCTACTTTTATGACATGCATGTTAAACAGCATTGCTTTTGTTTTACATTTGTTGGGGGCAGAAATTGCTTTCTGATTCCCTGTACTAATTTCATTTTGATGGTGTTCATAGTATAACTGCTCCATCTGATATGAGATGGTACAGCAAGGGTAATTGTTTTGCATTGTTGTATGCCATCAGCTGCAAGCCGCTGTTGGGCCAGAGATCACCAAGAATGACCTAGTTCCTGCTTTCCAAAGTTTGCTGAAGGACTGCGAAGCTGAGGTTCGTGCTGCATCCGCTCACAAGATTAAAGGTTTGTTTCCACGGATGTTTTTGTTCTTTGCTTCTTCTCCAATCTTCTTTGTCCTGTTGTGAATGGCTTGAAAGCATTTCATCTATTCCACACTGAGTTCTCACTTATGTTGCTGCCAGCATCTTATAATAGTTAGGGACATCTTACATCCTGCAGGTGGGCTAGATCTAAGGTTGAGGCTTGACCTTCTTGCTTATGCACACCTGTGTGTTTATATTTGGGATTTTTACTACAATAAATGATTGTCTTTTTCTTGAACTTGCATAATTAATTGAACATCTAGCCTTCTAAATTATAGTGAAAAACTCTCATGTGTGCATGTTGGACATATTAGAAATTTCAAACAGTTTAACCTGAAAAGAACAAAATAGACCCGTCTCCGAGGCAACATTTCTAAATTACAGAAAGCTAAATAGTGATCTTTGTAATGGGGTGGATGTGGGTTACGAAGCCAGTATCTTACAAAGTATAGTTTACGACAAAGCTGTTCAACTTAGGCATGGAGACCAAATCTGGCCCAAGGAGACCTACCAAGTGGCCCGCAGAACATTGCCAGTTGTATTGTGTTGATGATCTTTCTATGCTAGGATTCAGACCTCTGACCCGTGACAATCCTGAGTTTAAAAATTTGGCCACTCAAGAAACTTTATTGAATAACCTTGGTTTATGATATCAGTTGTGAAGTGAGGTGAGGGACATAGCTACAACTAATGCGGTAGGTTGAGTGACAACTACAACTAATGCGGTTAAATGGCAGAGCTACAGTTATGAAGTGAGGTGAGTGTCAGAACTACATCTAATGCGGTAGGTTGAGTGATAGAGCTACAGTTATGAAGTGAGGTGAGTGACAGAGTTACAACTAATGCGGTAGGTTAAAGTGACAGAACTACAGTTATGAAGTATCCACTTTCTGCCCAAACACAGCAAATCTTTGTAGATGACATTGTGATGAATTGTCCTGTTTTCCAACTGTTTCTGGCCACCTACACATTCAACCTGTAGCTGTCACTAAACCTAATGCTTGACTGCAAGATAGAGATATAGCACATAAAGTAAATGACCCTTTTCCATGCCTTCAGGCATATAGGGCACAAGGGGGGGGGGGTGATGTGGTCAACATCATGTCTTTGCTGCATTTACTTCCCAGGACTTCACCTTGTACCTGTTTAAGACTGCATCAACCTGGAAGACCAGATCATTTTTTATAGAAAAAAAATCTGGCTCCATAAAGACCTGAACCCATGACATTTAGATCCACAGGCAAGCATCCAGCCGCTACACCACGGCGGCTCACTAGAGTGAAGAAATATTTGTCTGTAATTATATTTCTTTGTGTCTTCTTGTGGCAGAATTTTGTCAGGCCCTGTCATCAGATGTTCGTGAGCAGATAATTATGAACAACATGCTCCCGTGCGTCAAGGATCTGGTTGCAGACGCCAACCAGCATGTGAAGTCTGCACTGGCCTCTGTCATCATGGGCTTGTCCCCCATACTGGGCAAGGAGAACACTATTGAGCACCTCCTGCCCCTGTTCTTAATACAGCTGAAAGGTGAGTTGGTTTTCCTTTTCACTTTGATAACTTTTAGGTGTCTGTGAAAGACTTGTAAAGTGATAGAGTTTTTCAGCTGGGGGCAGAAATATACATCCTAACCTGCACATTTCGTGCACTAGCGGTGCAGTCCTAAATTCTCAGACTCAGGCACCCCATATCGTCTACACCACCCTAAAAATGGTAAATACAGACAGAAGTAACAAACAGAAACCACCCAGTGTTCCTCTAACAAACGTGTCATAAAAGGTGACTGATTAGGTTTCCATCTGCCTTAGGGGCAAGAAACCAAAAGTCTGCATACAAATAAAACTAACTACATCTTTAAAATATGGTGCCATGTTTTGAGAGGCAGCTGTTACATTTTTCTAAAGCCTTTCAGCTCGGCTTTTCTAGTAAAATCAGCTTCCTCAATCCATGGTTAAATAAGACCCATCCTTAAATAAGATCTATCCTTAAATAAGACCTATTCACTGGGCTATGTACACCCACACACGCACATGCTGAAATCAGATGCTGATCTTTGAGATGCGACCCGCTGGAAATAAATAAATACAGATATAAAGACATGAATGTTAATAACTCCTTGTGTGCTGTTCATCATTCCAGATGAATGCCCCGAAGTGCGACTGAACATCATCTCCAATCTGGACTGTGTCAATGAAGTGATTGGCATCAAACAGCTGTCACAGTCGTTGCTGCCTGCCATTGTAGAACTAGCCGAAGACACAAAGTGGAGAGTTCGTCTTGCCATCATCGAATACATGCCCCTGTTGGCTGGCCAGCTTGTAAGTCCAGTCTTTTCTCTTTATCTGTTACAAGCTTTCGGCAGATATTCCCTCAAATTCATTTTACACGAGTTTTTTCACACTCTTAGGAGTTTCTTATATTTACCACTAACACTTCCAGTTTTTTCAACCCGTCTTCTCCCGGTCTCTAATTTAATTTAAATTATGTATTAATTTTAGCTTAAAAATATTGTTTAATTTAGCTGTTATGCCATCATCTACTTTAACTGACCTTTTCTTTACCTATCAGCAGTATTAAAAAGTGGCTACTATAACGCCTGAACATGTTTTAAATACAGACAGTGAGTTTAAATTTTTTTTTTTGAACTGCTCAATATTTAAATATCTTTATTGTGAATTCTGTACTTTGTCCTGACTTTTCTTATGTGTTGACGTAAATGTGTTAGTGATGATTATATTGATGTCAGAAGATTAGTACTTGTCCAGGTTTTGTTGTTGTTTGATTTGGAGAGAGATCGCGTGGCATGTTCACGTACATTCTTTCTCAATGATAATGGATTGGAAATTTAATCCCCTTGGCGAAGGTGAAACATTTCTTTCTTTTTCTGGGTTAGCAGAGACCTTAAAGTTCATTGCTACATTGATTACCCACATCCATAGTGAGGCTTTGATGTCTGTTTTGTGATAAAATGAGGTGGAAGTACAGCACCAGACTTAAGCCCCCAGTCTAAAGGACCAAGGTGTCTCTCATTGTGTCTTCACCCTTTGACCACCACTGTAGCTCTTAGGGTTACAGCTCCCTCCCCCCCCCCCCACGCACATTGCACAATTTATAACAGTTATTTGGAAATTAGAAAGAACACCCTAATTAGGTCATTCACCAGGTAAAATTTAAAAGACAAATATTATTAAACATTCTCACAAAAGAATGTTTGTAAATCTTGTGTACACACCTTTGTATGCACTGCTGTTATCAGAGTTTGTGCCCAGTGCTGAAATTCTCCTTATGTTATCTGTTAGAAGAGATTGAAATGATTTAACTGTTTGCCGTCAATCGTTTACAATTTAATTACTGTATATATTTTCAGGGGGTGGAGTTCTTTGATGAGAAGCTGAACTCCTTGTGTATGACCTGGCTTGTGGACCATGGTAAGTGTCCTGTGTGTGTGACCTGTCTTATCAACAATGGTAAGTCCAAGCTTTAAATTATATGCCACAGATGTCGATAAGCTATTGTGTGTAAGTAAAATCAAGAACAACAAACCTTGACGTATAGGTAAGTGGAACAGAGCCTTTAGGATAATTATATAATTTTCGTAATTTTGCCGACAAATTCTTTATTATAAGACTGTTCCCGGGGTTCACCCAGCCTCTAGGAAATGGATATAACACTCTGGGGTTAATGGAGGAACGTTGCTGTAGCTACAAAGTTTTGTGCGGACGGCGACACAGGCGGACAGTTTCTTATCAGCTGTCAGTACTGGTGGCAGAGCACTTATGGTTTATAACCGTGTGCACTGAGGCTGGTTCAGATCTCCTAACTACCTTTTTTTTAAAACCTTTATTAAAAATTAAAATACACTATATTTCCCATAGGGAGTCGTCATGGTCTAGCGGCTAGATGCTCACCTGCGGATCGGAGGGTCTTGGGTTCAGGTGCTGATGCAGCTGGACCTTTTTCTAAAACAGTTGACCCAGCCTTGAGCGATACCAGGTACCATTTTTGGGAAGTAAAGGTGGCCGGCGTGAGGCTGACCAAGGGCTGATTGGTCTATAAAATATAGGTCTAGCCCTGTATGCTCAATACACCTAAAGGCAAGGAAAAGGGTCCTTAAAGCGTGTATAGCGTAGTTTTTTTTTTTTAGATTAGCTGGTGTTAGTTAAAGAAGTAGGGGCCTCAGGGCTTTATATGCTTAGGGCCTCATCAAACCTAAATTAGACCCTGGCTGAGAGGCTACTATTTTATTATTAGGTTAAATTATACTCGAGGGGGGGGGGGAGCACTTAATGATCATGTCTGGTGTGGGTGATCTTAATGAACAATGGGTTCAAATAAAGAGCTGTAATGTGATCTAATTATGATATTATGTATTGTCAGTGTTTGCCATTCGTGAGGCGGCAACACAGAACCTGAAGAAACTGGTGGAGAAGTTTGGCAAAGATTGGGCCCAGCAGACTGTTATACCAAAAGTGCTACAGATGTCTAGAGATCAGAACTATCTGCATCGCATGACCTGCCTTTTCTGTATAAATGTGAGTATCTTGTGTCTTTGTTTTGTCTGTTGCAACCTAGTGGTTACTGGAATGTTGACCGACTGTTATTTGTGGCAATACGGTGGTTACTGGAATGTTGACCGACTGTTGTTTGTGGCAATACGGTGGTTACTGGAAATTTGACCGACTGTTGTTTGTGGCAACATGGCGGTTACTGGACAGTTGACTGACTGTTGGTTGCGGCAATATAGCGGTTACTGGAAAGTTGACCGACTGTTGTTTGTGGCAACCTAGTGGTTACTGGACATTTGACCGACTGTTGGTTGTGGCAAGATGGTGGTTACTGGACAGTTGACCAACTGTTGTTTGTGGCAAGATGGTGGTTAACTGGAAAGTTGACCGACTGTTGGTTGCGGCAATATAGCGGTTACTGGAAAGTTGACCGACTGCTGTTTGTGGCAACCTAGTGGTTACTGGACATCTGACCGACTGTTGGCTGTGGCAAGATGGTGGTTACTGGACAGTTGACCTACTGTTGTTTGTGGCAAGATGGTGGTTACTGGAAAGTTGACCTACTGTTGTTTGTGGCAAGATGGTGGTTACTGGAATGTTGACCGACTGTTGTTTGTGGCAATACGGTGGTTACTGGAATGTTGACCGACTGTTGTTTGTGGCAATATGGTGGTTACTGGAAATTTGACTGACTGTTGTTTGTGGCAACATGGCGGTTACTGGACATTTGACCGACTGTTGTTTGTGGCAATATAGCGGTTACTGGAAAGTTGACCGACTGTTGTTTGTGGCAACCTAGTGGTTACTGGACATTTGACCGACTGTTGGTTGTGGCAAGATGGTGGTTACTGGACAGTTGACCGACTGTTGTTTGTGGCAAAATGGTGGTTACTGGAAAGGTGACCGACTGATGTTTGTCGCAACCTAGCGGTTTGTGCACAGTTGACTGGTGGAAAATATAACGCTTAGTACACAGTTCACTTACTCATGGTTTGTGGCGAGAAAAAGCAAAAGGGAGAAGACATAATTTTCTGTTCAGTAAAAAATGGACGGGGAGAGCCAGATGGCACACGGTGAGAAGATGGATTGATAACATTGCGCATCCACATGGAATGACAATAACCAGTGTCACTCATCGAGGGAAAGTCTGCAAAACGTTCTAACTCACAATATTTTACCTCAGTAATGGAAATAAGTCGGTGTCTGTGGCTAAGGCGTTGCGAACACGCTTGGTGATGTTGGGGTGCCTGGTTCAATCCCTGTCGCGGACTGTTTGTCTTGCGATGGTTTCGACCGCGGCACTGAGAGCCGACCGTCCAGAAAGCAATGGCGAACTACTGGACATAAATCTGCCTAGAAAAACCACAACAGCCAGAAAGTGCTGTGGTTGATTCTGCAACGTCCTGTAAAGGATACACAACTAATGAATGAATGGAAATTAAGGATGGTTGTTGTTACCATGCAGAGACCTTGAGCTTCATTGCTGCAGATATCAGCTGCTTCTGTTAATCTCTGTGATTGGCCATCTCTTTCCAATTTCTGACTCCTTCAGTTTGTATGCCTGCATGTATATTATCTCTCCACCATGTTCCATTCAACACTTTTATGTGCACAGGTTGTGTCTGTTCTCTGACATTCTCTTGATATGCTCAAACCATGCTTATTCTTCATCTTTTATTCTTCCTAACTTCCTCTTTTACCGCTGCAGGTGTCGAGGGAAGTGTAAAGTTGTTCTTCCTCCTCTTCTGGCAGCCTTGACCATAGATGCATCGTGCAGTTGTAGAGTTTCTCTTATGCTATCTTTTCATCTTATTCTTCGTTTACCTTGTGCTCTGCATAAGGGAAGAGAGGGGGGGGGGGGGCTGAGTAGAGGTGTGGCATCCACCTCAGGTGCTGAAGGTCCCTGGTTCAGACCCCAGCGAAGACTGGGATTTTTTTCACCAGGACTTCTAGTAATTTCCTTTGATCTCTGGGATGTAAAGACCAGATGCCCATGTGTATCGCTGTGCATGTAAAAAAAATACCTCAGCAGTTTTAAATCGTAAAAGAGTAGCCTAAGGGTGCTGCCTGGGCAAAATTTGGAGTTGAAAATTTAGCTAAAGTCTTTCAGGATCCTTGCCGGTGCATCAGAATTTGTGCACTGTGCTGAGATTCTTCAGACGCAGGTTTGAGTTAGAAGTAGAATGGAGCACTTATGGGTTACACGCGTGTTCCATGATGTTGTTCCATTGAATAAACATAAACATCTACATCCTTGTCCTCTTTTTGAGCATGCCTTGTGTGGTATCAACCATGGCTATTACAGGGAATCAGTCAATGCATGAGGTGTCACGTCTGCCTGTATTCTATCCCCAGCTACTTGCTGAGCCACTGGGACAGGATCTGACCACCAAGCTGATGTTGCCCACAATCATCACCATGGGATCCGACCCCGTCGCAAATGTTCGATTCAACGTGGCCAAGACTCTACAGAAACTGTCCACTCAGTTGGATAGCAGGTAACTTGGGGTTTTCATGAATCCACTCAGAGGAAGGCCAGTTTGTTCTGGTTTAGTCAAAGCAAACCAGTCCTTGCATAATTCAAATAACATTGGGAGTTAACAGTAGTGTCGCCGCGAGATACTTGCCTCCTGATCCGAATCTGCATTGAGGCATACTGTTATAAAACTAAATTGATCTCCAGGTTAGCCCAGTCTGAAATGAGTAACAGGTAATGTTCTGAGAACTAAACGTTGCTAGCTTGATAGTGAACCCATCACCCATCAAGTGCCAGTTAGACTATAATAAACATATGGGTTTACCTAATGACAAGCCAGTTAGTCTATAAACATATGGGTTTACCTAATGACAAGCCAGTTTATAAATATATGGGTTTACCTAATGACATGCCAGTTAGTCTATAGACATATGGGTTTACCTAATGACAAGCCGGTTAGTCTATAAACATATGGGTTTACCTAATGACAAGCCGGTTAGTCTATAAACATATGGGTTTACCTAATGACAAGCCAGTTTATAAATATATGGGTTTACCTAATGACAAGCCAGTTAGTCTATAAACATATGGGTTTACCTAATGACAAGCCAGTTTATAAACATATGGGTTTACCTAATGACAAGCCAGTTAGTCTATAAACATATGGGTTTACCTAATAAGCCAGTTTATCAATATATGGGTTTACCTAATGACAAGCCGGTTAGTCTATAAACATATGGAATTACCTAATGACAAGCCAGTTTATAAATATATGAGTTTACCTAATGACATGCCAGTTAGTCTATAAACATATGGGTTTACCTAATGACAAGCCAGTTAGTCTATAAACAAATGGGTTTACCTAATGACAATAAGAGTCCGTTATGTTCCTTAGATTCTTAAAAAAATTAATTTTTGTACACATTCAGGCATCACTCCTAACATATTTTATCCTGTCGCAGCACTAAAAGAATTAGGTCATGACCCCAAGGGAATTCCCCCCCCCCCCCCCAATCCTTTGAAAAGTCAGTAATAAATATACATTTTTTGTTTGTTAATTTGCATTAAAAATATTGTTTTGAAATTTATAAGGGTATATAAATGGAGTAATGAATAAACATGAACAGACTGAATAAGCATATGAAGTACCAGGGTCTGAAAAAAAAAATATATATATATATATATATATTGGATGCCTTGTGCGATGACCTTTATCACAGAGGCTACGGGAAAATTTGGCATCAAAATGGCTTTAAAGTAGCTATTTGGTTTGCAAGAAAACTCACCAGAATGCTATTTTTAGTAAATGTATTAACATCCTAACCCCCTAAACGAATCACATGCGTGAACACAGCCAATCACTTTAATTAGTGTCTTGTAGACGCATCACCTAGAAAAGCCTGTAAAGTGACTTTTACAGGGAATCCGACCCAACGGGAATCTTGGCTTCACAGAGCGACAGGGTTGTAGAAAGCAGCAGTCAGTCATGACATTTTCATGTTTTGAAAGAGTCCGTGCTCAGATGGAGCTGGTGTAGGCTGCAGTAATTTATCATTTTACAAAATGTTGGACATTTCTTGCTGCAGATGTTTTGTCATTGCAACATTATGTGTAAACATCAGAAAGAGACAAATGTCTTTGGTCATGGGATGAAAAGTGAGGCATTGGAGAGCATTGACAACTGGTAAGAAGTGAAAGAAGAGTCGGATGGAGAGAAAACCATGCTGTATGATATGAGGTGGTGACAGCAAATCTAAGACTGTGAAAAAATGTACAGATTTTTGAGTGAACGTATTGACTCTTATGTTTGACAGTGAGCAATGTTGACTGTTGTAGAACATTTAGCAATGTTGACACTCATATAGAACAGTTAGCAGTGTTGACTCATATAGGACAGTTAGCAGTATTGTCTCTTGTAGTACATTTTTCAATGCTGACTCACGTGTAGGACAGTTAGCAATTTTGACTATGTTGAGTCAAGAATTGACATAACAGCACTCGGGCGTTCCCATGCATGCTCCGTCCTCATCTTCAGCAGCCAGTGCAGAGTTCCAATACTGATGGTGCTTTTCACAATCTGGTTATATGTCCGTCTTGCCTTTCCTCTGAGTGTAGTGAGCCGGCCAGACCCTCTGGTTACACCCAGGCGCCTTATTCTCTCCAGGCCATAATAATCTTGTTTCTCAACTGATTCCGTTGCTTGTTCCCAAAGGGCCTTGACCACATTTGCCTCGTCATGTGTCAATTAACCACACAGTGGTGCAGATTCAGCCAATCTGTCTGCCTGTTCATTACCAACAATGCCGGCATAGCCTGTAGGACAGTTAGCAGTGTTGACTCATGTAGGACCGTTAGCAGTGTTGACTCATGTAGGACAGTTAGCAGAGTTGGCTCAAGTAGGGCAGTTAGCAGTGTGGACTCATGTAGGACAGTTAGCAGTGTTGACTCATGTAGGACAGTTAGCAGAGTTGGCTCATGTAGGACATTTAGCAGAGTTGGCTCATGTAGGACAGTTAGCAGAGTTGGCCCATGTAGTACAGTTAGCAGTGTGGACTCATGTAGGACAGTTGGCTCGTGTAGGACAGTTATCAGAGTTGGCTCATGTAGGACAGTTAGCAGTGTGGACTCATGTAGGACAGTTGGCAGTGTGGACTCATGTAGGGCAGTTAGCAGTGTTGACTCATGTAGGACAGTTAGCAGAGTTGGCTCATGTAGGACAGTTAGCAGAGTTGGCTCATGTAGGACAGTTAGCAGAGTTGGCTCATGTAGTACAGTTAGCAGAGTTGGCTCATGTAGTACAGTTAGCAGTGTGGACTCATGTAGTACAGTTAGCAGTGTGGACTCATGTAGGACAGTTATCAGAGTTGGCTCATGTAGGACAGTTAGCAGAGTTGGCTCATGTAGTACAGTTAGCAGTGTGGACTCATGTAGGACAGTTAGCAGTGTTGGCTCGTGTAGGACAGTTATCAGAGTTGGCTCATGTAGGACAGTTAGCAGTGTTAATTCTGACATGTGGTGTGTGTGTTTCAGTACCAACCAGAACCATGTGAAGCCCCTCCTGGAGAAGCTGAAGGCAGACAGTGACATGGATGTCCAGTACTATGCCTTGGAGGCCCTAGAAGGTAACAGCCGCCAACATGTCCAGTTCTCGGAGACACTCCACTGGAGATTCATTCATTCATTCACATTCACTCATTGTCCTGTTATTCCTTTATATATCACATAGGACTGACAGTCTATTTTCTCCATTCCTTTCCATTCTGTGCAATCACCTTGATATCATGTATGGAATCCAGTCAAGAACTTTTGTCTTCTGTCATCAGCATTCACTGTAGGGTTTCTTATAATTGTCCTCGGTTTCCCATTTCATTGCTTGTCTGGTGATTCTCTGCTCATCTCTTTTCCTGGTGATTCTCTGCTCATCTCTTTTCCTGGTGATTTTCTGTTCATCTCTTTTCCTGATGATTCTCTGCTCATCTCTTTTCCTAATGTGTCCAGTGTAGCAACATCTTATAACTGTTTCTATTGATGGTTGCTTAGACATTTCTCTTATTTCTTCATCCCTCTTGGATTCATCCCATTTTATTTTTGTAATTTTCCCCAGGCATTTATTTTTGAATGCATTTAACTTTTGCTCCATATCTCTAGTAGTTCTCCAACGTTCGCTGGCATATGTTAAAACTGAAGTTTCCCGTGTGGATTATGGGGCCCCGTTGTGGAGGAAACATGAACAGACCCACTATCTCCCCCAGCAAGCATGTCATAAGAGTTGTCTAACAGGGGTCTTCCTTTGAGTGTTTCTGCCCGAGCGGCACGGAACAGACAACTGGACAAAAGTAGGCCAGTAAAACGAATGTACACGCAAAACTCAGGCCCTGACACAGAGCCAAAGTCCAAATGGATGAACAACCATAACTTTCCGCTGGAGCTTACAGCCACTGAAGACAGAAGAAAAACTAAAATAAAATTAGAATTGAAAGACTTAGTGGACACATAACTGTTGGTTATGTTATGTTTTCACAATCGACGTCACTACAAATTGGACATTCCCTTGCGTGCTCAGTCCTCCGATGCAGCAGCCACACCAAAGTACTTCTACTAATTGTTTCCATGAGAAGCTTGTTATATTGTCTCCTATCTCTGCCTCGAAGACGGCATAAGCGTGCTTCACCGTGCTTTACTCGTATATCATGTCATTGTGTTAGTGTCAGGGATGCCTCATTATCTACTAGCCCAACCCGTACAGCGTTGATGATATCTGTTCTGTCCATGATTTTTCCCGCAATCATTAGTGCAGTGCTTGCCAGTTGTTCCGCTAGCTCATTTCCCTTTACGCCCGCATGACCTGGTGTGTAGATCGAGGTGAGGGAGGTTAAGTGCAATTTTCAAATGCTTTCTACCCATTCAGAGCGTACACCGCCTGTTGCTATCTTCTGAAGCATGTTCATGGAGTCTGATGCAATAACTGCCTGTGTGGCGGTTTGCTCAGATACCCATGCTAGTGCTCTAGAAGCAGTGGCTATTTCCATGGTCATGCTTGACGTGGTTGGTCTTGTAAGCGCCGCTGTCCTCATATATAGTTTTCCCCCTTCTTTGCGCTGTGTATGCCCATGCTGACCTACATCCGCGCTTCACGGATCCATCTGTGCAGATAACGATATTTTCAGGGTCTGAATGCTGATCTATCAGTTCTCTTACCTCTGTGTTTATGGCCGCAGGAATTTGATCCCTGCAGTACCTTCCGAGTGTGATGACAATCTTAGTGGTTATATATCAATACTCTAATCCCTTGGTCTCTGGTTCTAACCCTGTCAGGTGGGTTTTATAATTGACCTGTGCTTCTGGATCGACCCAGGTGCATTGTTGACCACCTTACCTGTCAGAGGAGAGAGGATAATCTCAAGAAATAGACAGACCACCTTACCTGTCAAAGGAGAGAGGATAATCTCAAGAAATAGACAGACCACCTTACCTGTCAAAGGAGAGAGGATAATCTCAAGAAATAGACAGACCACCTTACCTGTCAGAGGATAGAGGATAATCTCAAGAAATAGACAGACCACCTTACCTGTCAGAGGAGAGAGGATAATCTCAAGAAATAGACAGACCACCTTACCTGTCAAAGGAGAGAGGATAATCTCAAGAAATAGACAGTCCACATTACCTGTCAGAGGAGAGAGGATAATCTCAAGAAATAGACAGTCCACATTACCTGTCAAAGGAGAGAGGATAATCTCAAGAAATAGACAGACCACATTACCTGTCAGAGGAGAGAGGATAATCTCAAGAAATAGACAGTCCACATTACCTGTCAGAGGAGAGAGGATAATCTCAAGAAATAGACAGACCACATTACCTGTCAGAGGAGAGAGGATAATCTCAAGAAATAGACAGACCACATTACCTGTCAAAGGAGAGAGGATAATCTCAAGAAATAGACAGTCCACATTACCTGTCAGAGGAGAGAGGATAATCTCAAGAAATAGACAGACCACCTTACCTGTCAAAGGAGAGAGGATAATCTCAAGAAATAGACAGTCCACATTACCTGTCAGAGGAGAGAGGATAATCTCAAGAAATAGACAGTTCACATTACCTGTCAAAGGAGAGAGGATAATCTCAAGAAATAGACAGACCACATTACCTGTCAGAGGAGAGAGGATAATCTCAAGAAATAGACAGTCCACATTACCTGTCAGAGGAGAGAGGATAATCTCAAGAAATAGACAGACCACATTACCTGTCAGAGGAGAGAGGATAATCTCAAGAAATAGACAGACCACATTACCTGTCAGAGGAGAGGATAATCTCAAGAAATACAGTCCACATTACCTGTCAGAGGAGAGAGGATAATCTCAAGAAATAGACAGACCACCTTACCTGTCAGAGGAGAGAGGATAATCTCAAGAAATAGACAGCAAGAAATAGACAGTCCACATTACCTGTCAGACGAGAGAGGATAATCTCAAGAAATAGACAGACCGCATTACCTGTCAGAGGAGAGAGGATAATCTCAAGAAATAGACGGTCCACATTACCTGTCAGAGGAGAGAGGATAATCTCAAGAAATAGACAGACCACATTACCTGTCAGAGGAGAGAGGATAATCTCAAGAAATAGACAATCTGAGGGTCACTTTAGACCCAGAGCAAAAGATGAACTGCATTGGAGAGCCACTGTAGCCAATCTTCTTTGTGGAGATGACACCTTATTTCATTGATATATATACATAAAAGTGATGTATTTCTGTTTTTATAAGAAATGTTATATTTCTGAGTAATGTCCTGTTACCTGTGTTGTAAGTAATGTCCTGTTACCTGTGTTGTAAGTAATGTCCTGTTACCTGCTTAAGTAATGTCCTCTTCCTGTCCATGTAACTAATTTGCTATTGACTAAATTTTTCAGGGCTCAAGTAAAAAAAAAGATCTGCGGTCCACTTTTGATGTAAGTCACAACATATAACTTCATGATTGGTGGGAGGGGAATTAACCTTCTACAGTAGTGCTACTTTTTAGAACAAAATATCAACATGCACGCGCGCGCACACACACAAAGGGAGAGAGGGAGAGAGAGAGAGGGGGTAACTGATAAATGTGCTGCTTGTATTAACTTTTTGCTATCAGTGCATGGACAGTCCTTGAAAAATAAACACAAAATTACAGCAGGACTTTTTGCAGACACAATAAGTATGACACACAAGACAGTTTCTAAACAGCATATTCATACCAACACTGTGCTGTACTTGGACATTATCAAAGGCTGACCTATGTACAATTAACACCTGCAAAAATACATGCTTGGGAGAAAGCTGCCAACTTAACCATCGGAGACAAAGTGAGAAATGATATCATCAGACAGATTGGAAACAACACCATGCACAAAGATTACTGAGAAACAGAAGATCAGAGGGTTTGATCATCTTGTTAGAATGTAACATGAAAAACAAGGTGCACTTGCAACACATGAAAAGATTTGATGTGAAAGCAAAAGGTGCCTTAGAAGAGGATGAATTAATGACATTAAAGAGTTTCTACATCGATACGGAATGACATTAGCCATTGCTGCTCATCAAGAAATGGTTCACAAACTGTTCTTTCTGGCGATGTTTAACGGCAGTTTGTACAAATTGATGATGATGCCTTTACTGTGTCCATTCTTTAGATTCTTATAAATATCCATTCTTTCATAATTATGCAAGTCTATGGTTAAGCACCAGCAAGGAAATCAAAATTAGAATTTTGGGAGCATGCATCTTCCCTGTAGCAACATACGGATGTGAATCATGGACTATCTCCCAGTCCTTAAGAAAGAGAATAGGGGCCTTTGAGCTGAAATGCTATAGATTCTCAGAATATCTTGGACAAAGAAGAGGAGAAATACTGACATCTTGAAAGAACTGAACATCAAGGAAGATTGGCTAATAAACGGCATCCTGTCTAAGAAGCTTAAATATTTTAGTCATATCAAGCGCCACGATGGATTGGAAAAAATTATAGCAGAAGGCATGGTACCAGGGAGGAGGGGCAGGGGCCGACCGACACGAAGATGGGCACAGGATATAAGTGACTCCTTGAGTATGGAAGTGCATGAGGTGGGAGAGCTGGCGAGAGACCGAGTTTCTTTCAGGCAGACCGTGATGAGAGCGACGTTCTGCAAAGGACCTGCTACAATATGATGATGATGACATAATTAGGCAGCCTGTGAACAGCTGATTGATAACAATTCTGGCTCAGGTGGTGAATTATTTTTACAGATGCCTATGTGTTGAGGGGCAGAAGGGCAAGGGGGTTCTTAGCAAAGGCTAATTTTCTAAAAAGGACGGGCTGTTAGACAGAATTTCTGTGTCACAAAATGATTTTTTTGTTTTTTTTTTGTTTTGGGTAGAAAGTGCATTTCCAACATGAAAAAACCAGAAAGCTCTGAACGAAGAACTTGCTGAAATGGGCAGATAAAGCAGTCTAGCTGTAGACCACAGCACAGTGTGCCAGCATCCCTTTTCAGGGCGGATAGAGAAGAAGGTAGAAGAAGAAGAAAAACCTGACCTACACTGTATGGTTGAAAAGAGCACACTGTAAACACAACCAGATTCAAACAGTTGAAAACAGCAGGTGAAAGGAAAGGTATTGTTTATTGAACATATTCATCCCCCTTTATTCTCCAGATTTTGCTCGGGCAACATCTTAAAGCAGCCACACTGAGCATAGGAGATTGTGGTGATCCTGTTCTGGTTTCGTTTGTTTGAAATTGTTCATCCCTGTTTATACCACCTTTGGTACTGTTTTTTCTTTCACACCTTTAAAGTTCAAGTTTTGTTCAAGAGTTAAAACAGCAGTTACAGTTGCCATTTTTTATAGTCATATTTGTACAATAATATCTCAGTAAGTAACGATATATTTTATATTGAAACTGCAATATTCAGATCATAATAAGGAATGTATTGATACAACAGAATCAAGAAAGGTACCATCTTTTTGTTGTGTTTTAAGAATAAAATATTGATTGGTGCAAGAACTGTTTGTTAATAATTTTTTAAATAGAAAACTAAAATTAAAAAGACCCCCCCCCCCCCCCCCCCCTTTTAAAAAAAAAAAACTCTTTCAGTAACATACGACTCACCGTAAATTTCTTTGCTGTTCTAAAGATAAAATGTTCTTGATGTCGTGTGAAACATGGGATGAAATAACAAGCTTGTCTTGACAACAGCAGGTAATAACAGTTATAAAAGAAAGAAGATTGCTCTATATTAGACACATCCTGATGAGAAATAAGCAGAGCATCACCAAACAGGCACTAAAATGAAGGGGAAAAAAAGGGTTAAGAAAGCTAAAATGGACGTTAATAATGACAGAGGCCAACTCTGCTGGTCTGGATTCCATCCACGACATTGAACTGAATACACAGGATACAACAGAAGGGAGTAACAGACTGCAAGCCCTGGGTGACATCTAATGGCATGATACTATCTGTTAACCACTTCTGTTCATTATTGGCTGTTTAACCTCTTTAGATCTAAATATTTATTAATTTTAAGCTTACCTGCTTGGGAAAGGAGGAGTTAAGGTGGTAACTGCTTGGTTACTGAAACTTGTGACAGTAACACAGGAGTGGTACAAGTAAACGTGAGAACATCGCTGGACTTCTCCTTCTTCTTCGCGTTCACTGGCTGTAAACTTCGGCAGAAAGTTCTGGTTTTTCAACTACCTCTGGACTTGAGACTTGTTCCAGAACCTGAGATTTACAGATCTGACTTATTTGTATGCAGACTGTTGGTTTCTTTCCTCTCAGGCAGAAGCACTCCAACTTCGAAGGAGGAGTCCAGTTAGTCGACTCTTACAACATGCTTGTTGGGCAGGTGGTGGGGTGGGTCTCTTCTTGTTTTCCCACGATGGGGTCCCAGAACCCAGACAGGGAATCACTGGACTGAGAATGGCTGATGATGATGATGATGATGATGATGATGATGATGGTGCACCCAGAAAGGATGCCGATGTTGTTGGATAATAACCCGCCCAAAAAAAAAGGGATAGAAGTCTATAATGACTTCCTATTATTTGATATTATAACAAATTCATTATATATACTGTTATAATGCATCCAGAAAGGATACATAGTGATGCAACTCTACAGTTATCCTTTTATACTGTGTTTAGAAAGGACACACAGTAATGTGCAACTATCGACAGTATACAGAAATAAATCTACAAAATAATTAGCACGTCATTAAAATTGACAGAGAATCATTGACATCCAAGACTAGATGAACAGTTTTCAATGTTGTATCATTAATGTTAAATATGTTGTATCGCAGCCCTTTTGGTGTTATCCTCTGCAAAACCGTAACGCTCTTAGCACATTGTGTAGAGTAAAAGCTTGCATAAACTTACCCGTAAATGTGTTAAGCAATGTCATGGGTGACATCACATTCAGACTGTATTCTTTGTATACATGTTGGGGAAAATACTTGAATGCTGCTTGGTTGTACTGTCTGTCAGTTGTATGACAGCAGCAGTGCTATTTTTATACTGTGTTTTTTTTTTTGTAGCTTTATGAAACATCTGCACTTCTTTCTCTCTGTAACCAGTTATAAGGGCATTGTAAAACCAGTCCGTCTCAGGATTTCAGTCATTCAGGAAATAGGGACGTCGAGAAGAAACCCTACATCCTCCTCTTCTGCATTCTCTTTGGCTGACACATCTGACTTCTGCAAGCGTTTGATGCCCGTGTTAGCCTTCCCGGGAAACCCTAAATGATTGTTGAAGAGAGAGGCCAAAGGTGCTGGATTGGATTGCACAGGATAGAAGGAACAAACTCTTTTTTTTTCGTCGTCACAAGAATGGAGGAGTAGACTTTGAGCCCTATGTGACAAATGACACAACAGGACAATGATGATGATGGCAATTCATTCAGGCCCATATCTTTGAAACAGACTACTCGCCCTTTCTAACTCCTTTTATAAAGAGGCAATTGATTTAGGTCCACATGACAAGAGCGGTCACACTTTGCAGGTTAGGATGTTTAACAATTTGCCACCGACAGGAAAATTCTAGGTCTCCCGTTCTAATAATTTCTCGGCCACTGATATGAAATATACATTTACATCTATGGCCTGCCATGGAACATTGGGCCTGCGTGTGTTTGGTAGTGTATTGGACAGGTTAGTTCTGGAGAAGTATATCATTGTTGAAATCTCCTGTGTTAGATGTCACTTTATGTCTGCCAGTTTAGAATGTTGTTGCTGTTGTCCGTGGGGTGTTTCCCATTATGGTGCAGCTAAACACAAGCACTGTAGTTGTATTTGATATTGATTTTAACACTTTGTTCATATTTAGTAAACAACCATCAAGTTCTTCTGGTTAATTAAATGAAAGACAAATAATGAATCTTCGTTTTGTTGTTTGTTTGTAAATAGTTATGATGTGTTTGTAAAAAGCTGTAAAGTGTTCATTTTAGAAAAGATCGTGGAACTGTTATGATTTTCGCTGCTAGACAGCTGCAACACTGCAAAAGAAATGTCAAGAACAGAATTCAAACATGTTTTCTACCTTTATTGATCTTACGAAAGCGTTTGACACAGTAAATCAAGAGGGGCTGTAGAGGATTATGGGGAAATTTGGTTGCCCACATGTTCATCCAGATAGTGTGTCAGTTAAAAGAGTGCAGGATAACGGCGAACTGTCAAGTCCTTTCCTGTCACAAACGAAGTCAAACAAGGCTGCGTGCTGGCACTGTCACTGTTCAGTCTGTTATTTTTAGCCATGCTGACTAATGCCTTTGTAAATGATCACACTGGAATCGATATAAATTACAGCATGGATGGAAAGCAGAGGAGGCTGAAAGCAAAAAGAAAAACGAAACCAGACACCATCAGGAAGTTCCTGTTTAACGACAGTTGTGCCCTTTATGCCAACACAGAAGCTGATATGCAGCACAACATCGACAAATTCAATACAAACTTTAGGCTCACCGTCAACAAAGATAAACTGTAGCCATTCACCAGCCAGCCCTAGCGCAAAGATACATCGAGCCCACTATCACAGTGAATGGCTACAGATTAAATGTCAGTAAATTTACTTATTTAGGCAGCAACTGTTCACAGAACGCCATAATGATGATGAAGTAAATGTGAGGATCTCTAGGCCTATAGCATTGCCTTTGGCAGATTGTACAAAAAAGTTTGGAACAGAAGTGGCATAACCCTGCAGACAAAGCTTAAAGTATACATAGCAGTTGTATTAACTACACTGCTGTACGCATGCGAACATGGACTGTATACCAGCGCCAGGCCAGAAAGTTGAACCACTTTCACACAGCCTGCCTTAGAAAACTAATGCAGATCAGATTTCAAGATAAAGTACCTGATACCGTAGTCCTTGAGAAAGCAGCCATGTCCAGCATTCACACTCTACTGATGCAGTATCAAATTTGTTGGGCTGGTCATGTGGCACGCATGCCAGATCACAGGCTCCCGAAAAAACTCTTCTATGGTGAGCTGCAAAATGAGAAACGTTCCCAAGGCGGGCAAAAGAAACGCTTTAAGGGCACCTTGAAGTCTTGACTCAAAGCATTTGGGATGAATGACACCAATTGGGAGGCTGCCTCTCAAGACCAAAATACATGGCGTGCAACTCTACACAAGGGCGCGGCTACATGTGAAGCAAACAGAACAGCAAGACTGATTAAAAAAAGGATGGACAGAAAGGTGACTGCAGAAGATCCTGGCACAACGCTCATTCCATGTCCTCACTGTCCAAGAACTTTTCGGGCCCGCATCGGCCTCATCAGTCATCTTCGTACTCATACTCGATGAGAAAGAGTGGTCATCATCATCTGGATGGATAACACGCATGCACACACACACACAGTGTGTTCATAGTTAGGTGTTTATAGTTGTGTGGTTATAAATATTTGTTTAAAGTTGTGTGTTTATAAATATATGTTAATGTTATTATGTGTTTGTACTTTTGATATATTTATAGTTATTTAAGGATAATTATGTGTTCATTTTATGATGTGTTGATATTTCTTGTAAATTAGAAACAGGCGTGTATGCTATTCTCGAACATTAAAGGTGTGATTGGGGGAAAAGAGGGGGGGGGGTGCAAGACAGCAGTTTCCTGTACTCAGTAACCACAACACTAAAAACACCAGGTATAGTAGCACAAAAAACTTTTAATAAAACTGTATCGTAACACTGGGAATAACAAGACACCATATGAAACAGTGTCAGCGATATTTCTGCCTTGTTATACAGAGTGGACAACACTCAGTGTACATGGCTTGAGTCTTTCTGCTCCAGATAATTGTGAATTTAAAGTAATCAGTGTTCAGATAATAAAAAGAGGTTTATGGCCCTGAAATCTGGAATACAGCTTAAAGAAATGAAAGAACACAAACTCTTGAAAACTGGGTCTTATGATAAACCTTTCTACCCATCAGAGTTGTAAACAGCAGGGAATGGGGAGCAATAAGTAATCTGTTTAAGTAACCACTAACTACTGCCATTTGAAAAGCTACTATGAAGGCAAAGGTTGGGGCGTATAGAGTTAGAGACACAGCTAACAGAGAAACAGACATTGAGCATTCAGAAGAGCTAAATGACAGCAGACCAAGAAGATGGTGTGGAGATAATGTACCGGCAGAGCTACAAACACTTGGAATCACCAAGTACAAATAAAAAACCAGTCAGCGAGATGAATGGAAGTAGTTGATATCTGCAGTAGTGGTCCTCATTGGCTCTGGAAGCTGAAAAAAGAAGAGACGAGTTATGGTACCGTAATGAGCTGCAGGAGATGGCCAAATGTAGAATAAACTGGCATGAGATGGTTACGGCCTATGTTCCAATGGGATATTTAGGGCAGAATATAAATATTCTTAACTCTGACTGTCCTAAGCTTCACATTTGTGTGCTTGTGAGCTGTTTCACAATCCGCACATTATGTATACACAGAATTGAATTGTATAAATAACCACAGTTTAGTTATACACGCAGTATTGGTATATTTTGAATATGTTATCATATCACAGACTGTTTTTGTTGTAATGAATAAGTAAGACAATATATCTATAAAACTCATATATAGATAATGTGACAATAAAGTATGCAACAATGTAGTAAGTTATAATTATACGTGGACAATAAAAACACATATTGATAAGAAAAATGCTGATAAATTAGAATGTAGATAAAACAATTTTTACAATACAATTAAGAATGTAAAATATAGTAATGGATGAAAATTTAGAAAAATATAGTTATATTATTTTTTGTTTTGTTTAAACAGCATGAGAAATAGTAGAGGCAGGATGCTTAATTAAGAAGAATTTTGAAGTTTGTGCAACAAAGATAACAGTAAAAAATATTACCATATTTGACCATAAAATGTCTCCAAATAAAATGTACATATCTGTATTACTGTCGATCAGCCAGTTTGTCTCCTCTGCACTGCAACCTACAGTTACCATACCAGCCTATGATTAAAACATCTTAACCCAGACAGCAAACCAACAAGTAGATCCCAGATACCTTCCCTGTTCAGCCTCCAGAGGCTATAATTAGGGCATCCTTCAAAGTCAGAGAAATCAAGTCTGCGTACGAATAAGCCAGATCTGTAAAACGAATGTGCAAGCAAAAACTTAAATCGTGGAACAAGATTAAAGTCCAGAAAAAAGATGAACAACCAGAACTTTCCGCCAGAGTTTAGTTTACAGCCGGTAAAAGCCAAGAAGGAAAAGATAATTAGGGAACTCCTAATGGCTGCACCAACCAGATATTACCTGCAGTTCTGTGTGCGTAAGGAGTCTGTACTCCTGCAGGAGTTCATGATGGGGATATTCCCCAAGTCATGACAATCATCTCAGGTAAGCCCAGGTCGCCGACCTTTGCATGGCATTAGAGTTGAAGGTGGAGAGGATCGACTTCAATGAACAGGGTTTATCCCCTATGACAACTTCATCTCTCTCCACGTAATAGATAGTAATCAGCCTAGATCATCACACACATTCTGAATCTCCAGTGATGATCGCCAGTGCACTGATACACTGAATAAAACAGTCTGCTAAATAAGCTTGTGACCTTAGAGCTCAAGGCCAATGGCTTAGCTAATCAACCACTCGGACAGTCTTCATGTGCAGGCTGTTGGTTGGAATCATTAGGCCTCCTACGAGGCTACCATATTTCCCAGTAACAGGCTCTCAGTTTCACAAAAAGTCTCTCTAAACAGCATCATATCTTGGAATCTGTTATAATTTGCCGATTCCTAACAGTAAAGTTAGTTATGTATTCTTTACAGAAAGTTGCACAATCAACCTGAGAGTTTGTTGTTGTTGTTGTTGCTTCGTTTTACAATTATATATCCACTAGTCGGCGTCTGTGGCTTAGGCATTGCGAACGTGCTTCATAATCCCGGGGTGCTGGGTTTGATCCCAGCTGCCAACGATTTGCTGTGCATTAGTTTGGACAGTGGTACCGATAGCTGACCATGCAGAAAGCAATGGCAAACTACTAAATGTAAAATTTGCCTAGAAATTCCACAACAGCCCCCAAAAAAGGCTGGGGTTGGTTCTGCAACGTCCTGTAAAGGATACACAACTAACTTTTAGTCTGCCACTGCTCCTGAGCAGTCGGCGCTCAACAGCATTGTTAAAATCAGCGCAAAGCAGTCTGTTACCAGATCACCTGCGGCTAGATTTGAACCAGATAGTTTGCAGTTATGCAAATTAGTAAGAATGTAAGGCCAAATGGCAATAAATGGACATACATCAGAGTATAAAACAAATAAGAATTTCAAGAAAAAAAAGGGTTGGTGGTGGGAGGGAGGAATGAGCACAAATACATGGATATGGTGGTATGCAAACAAAAATTTATTACCAACTAAAAACAATAACATAAAATACACACAACAATAGAAGACTTAGTAATGAATCATAAAAATACTAGAGAGTACAACACGAGCTTTAGAAGCACAGTCTCAAACATGGAGAACATTGTGACTGTCAGAATTAAAGCAATGTTTCCCCGATGTGAATTTTAACAAAGAAGACACAATTATCAGAAAAACAAAAATACTCACACACAGATAAAAAAGGACTCAGATGTCTAAAAAAAAAGGACATCAGTTTAAAAAAAATTAATTAGCATAAGTTTAAAAAAAAAAAAAAATAATTAATTAGGTTAAAACAAAAAAACAGAAAAATAATTCATGAACATAGATAATATATATGTATGCATGAAAACACACCAAGTGTGAAAATAAGGGTAAATTAACTATGATGAGGATGCTCAGCAAGGAAACAAGAAATGACATGCACAGATATGACCGATGTCATTTCCTTGTTCACTGTGTCTCAGGATTCATGCTGCTTTATTTGTTGATAAAGACTTTGGTTGAAACATTCAGCTATATGAATGTGTGTCTTTTCCTTTCCTCTCATCACACTTTTTTTTATTATATAAGTTTGTACTGTGTTAGTTCATTTCATGGTGAGAAGAAGACATTGGCATTTGATGGGAGACAAACTGTAATGTTTTTACATTGGAACCCACATGGTCAGAGGAATAAAGGCACACCAAAAACTACAGAGAAGAGAATGAGGCAATGTGGGTGAGTTACATGCGACAACAAGAGACAGGACTTAGTGCCAGTAACTTGGAGCCTGTGCTCCACTGGGAAAACAGGGCAAAAGAGAAATGTAATTCATGATGATGACAGTGACACCCATTTTCAACACCAGGACACAAGCACTATAGTGACAAATGGTACATGTAAACATTCTATGGCTTAAATATGTTTCGCATAAACTTTAAACAAATATTTCACCAGCAAGGCTGTCATCAGATCAATTCAGTAGTCTCTCTCTTTATTGAAAGAATGTGTGTTCCTTCTAATAATTGCTTCATTCATTTTGTCTTCTTCGTATCGCTGCCGCAGCTTCTCCAGATCTATTATATCCATTTCCCTGCCTTTCTTTGGTGGTTGCCGAGGAGAGAGGTGGTTGTGTCCCTCTGCTGCAGCGTCCCGTCCGTGGTGTTTGGCAATCGGGGATTTCTCTGATGCCAGTTCATAGTTGTTGAACTCATTAGGCTGTACCCTCACTGTTGGTTTCGGAACAGACTTTGCATACTCTATTGCCTGAAATAGTACAGAATTTGGTGTTAGTAAACGTGTAGTAAAACATTCCAATTCTGTTGCATTTTCTATATATGTGGACTGAAAATACACAGTTCTGTCACCTAGCTACCAAACTGAGTGCATGCTGCAATACTGTGAGATGTGGATTTCATATGGAATACTTTTGGACTATCCCCAAGGTAGTTTGTGTTGAGACATGTCCATTCAGAAAATGGTGGTGTTTTCTGCAACTATTGTGCATGCAACTGCTATGTTGTAAAAGCTCGCTCCATCAACGATGAACTGCAATTCTTGGTGGTGGATTGTTTGTGTTGGTACCTCTAGCAGATGCCTTGCCTTATGCATTTATTGTGTGTGCTTGCTGCAGACTATTTCAATTCTTTCAAAAGGGACAATGATAGGCATTCTGTCTAGTTTTCACCAGCATAAGAACAGCAGATGAGAGAATAATTGTTAGTGAATTTGTAAGTGTGACCAGAATCCAATCAATAGTAAACTCAGTTTTTTTTTTTTTCTTTCTCCAGATGACCCCTTCCCTATTCTCGGCTCTGGTTAAGTTGTATCTGTGTGCAACTTTTCTCCAGCCCCCTTGTTGACCTTTCTGTCCTAGTTAGTGTTTAGTTTTATACAAGGTGCCAGTACTGCATACCTCTGTGCACCACCAGAAAAAAGCCCTGGTTTTATACATGTCTTATTCATCTTAAATTCACCTTGATCTCATTCAGTAATGTTTTCTTCAAACTCACTTTTTAAAAAACAATAAGTAAAACAAAATCAGAAATAGAATTAAGTTGGAGGCGGGGGACAAATGCAGAATAAGAATTTTTTAAAGCGTTATTGTAAGAACATCCATTTTATTTGTTTAAAGACTGAAACATTTTAAACAAACTTCTAATTTCTGCAACAAAAACAACAACAAAAAACCATCAAAACTCATTACTGCTTGCATTGATCACTTTTGTAGTGTAGGCAAAAGAGTTCTGAGCCTGACGATTTCAGTCACATGGCTAGGGAGGCCAACATTCTTTTTTGCTGTAAACTCTGGTGGAAAGTTCTAGTTGTTTATCCACTTCTAGACTGCAGTCCTGTTTCAGGACCTAAGTGTTGCGTGTGCATCCGTTTGACAGATAGACTCACTTGTATGCAGACTGTTGGTTCCTTGCCTCTCAGGCAGATGCAGTCCAGCTTCAAAGAAAGCTTCCAATTAGTTGGCTCTCACGACATGTTTTTGGGTAGGCAGCGGGTCTATTCTTGTTTTTCCTATAATAGGGCCTGGAATCCACACTGGGAGCAGCCAACACTTGACTGTGTGGAACCCACATGGGGAGCAGCCAACACTGACTGTGAGGAACCCACACGGGGAGCAGCCAACACTTGTCTGTGTGGAACCCACATGGGGAGCAGCCAACACTGACTGTGTGGAACCCACATGGGGAGCAGCCAACACTTGGCTGTGTGGAACCCACATGGGGAGCAGCCAACACTTGACTGTGTGGAACCCACACTGGGCGCAGCCAACACTGACTGTGTGGAACCCACATGGGGAGCAACCAACACTTGACTGTGTGGAACCCACATGGGGAGCAACCAACACTTGACTGTGTGGAACCCACATGGGGAGCAGCCAACACTTGACTGTGTGGAACCCACATGGGGAGCAACCAACACTTGACTGTGTGGAACCCACATGGGGAGCAACCAACACTTGACTGTGTGGAACCCACATGGGGAGCAACCAACACTTGACTGTGTGGAACCCACATGGGAAGCAGCCAACACTGACTTGTGAGGAACTCACATGGGGAGCAACCAACACTTGACTGTGTGGAACCCACATGGGGAGCAACCAACACTTGACTGTGTGGAACCCACATGGGGAGCAACCAACACTTGACTGTGTGGAACCCACATGGGGAGCAGCCAACACTGACTTGTGAGGAACTCACATGGGGAGCAACCAACACTTGACTGTGTGGAACCCACATGGGGAGCAACCAACACTTGTCTGTGTGGAACCCCCATGGGGAGCAGCCAACACTTGACTGTGTGGAACCCCCATGGGGAGCAGCCAACACTTGAATGTGTGGAACCCCCATGGGGAGCAGCCAACACTTGAATGTGTAGAACCCCCATGGGGAGCAGCCAACACTTGAATGTGTAGAACCCCCATGGGGAGCAGCCAACACTTGAATGTGTAGAACCCCCATGGGGAGCAGCCAACACTGACTGTGGAACCCACATGGGGAGCAGCCAACACTTGACTGTGTAGAACCCCCATGGGGAGCAGCCAACACTTGACTGTGTGGAACCCCCATGGGGAGCAGCCAACACTTGAATGTGTAGAACCCCCATGGGGAGCAGCCAACACTTGAATGTGTAGAACCCCCATGGGGAGCAGCCAACACTTGACTGTGTGGAACCCCCATGGGGAGCAGCCAACACTGACTGTGTAGAACCCCCATGGGGAGCAGCCAACACTTGACTGTGTGGAACCCCCATGGGGAGCAGCCAACACTTGAATGTGTGGAACCCCCATGGGGAGCAGCCAACACTTGAATGTGTAGAACCCCCATGGGGAGCAGCCAACACTTGACTGTGTGGAACCCCCATGGGGAGCAGCCAACACTGACTGTGTAGAACCCTCATGGGGAGCAGCCAACACTTGACTGTGTGGAACCCCCATGGGGAGCAGCCAACACTTGAATGTGTGGAACCCCCCACGGGGAGCAGCCAACACTTGAATGTGTGGAACCCCCATGGGGAGCAGCCAACACTTGAATGTGTAGAACCCCCATGGGGAGCAGCCAACACTTGAATGTGTAGAACCCCCATGGGGAGCAGCCAACACTTGAATGTGTGGAACCCCCCACGGGGAGCAGCCAACACTTGAATGTGTGGAACCCACACAGGGAGCAGCAAGCATTGACTGTGCAGGTAAGGATTTTATGTGGGGGAGAGGGGCACCTACAGGAAATCCCACGACTTTACTGAGGATTTGAACCTGCATGTCCTACACGAGAGACCAGTGTTCTTAGCTGTTCAGCCAGTAACAACACAATTAACTAACCACTTAGATTTTGAGTTAATGAAAAGAAAAATATTTTTAAGAATGGGCTTACTAATTTTCTTCGGCGGAGAATGTCATTTTCTTCTTTGGGGCGAGGGAAAGATGGTGGTTTCTTGTGGGCAAGCTGACTTCTGTTTTTCTGCATCACTGTTTTGGCATAATCCTGCTGTCTCATCACCTTCTCTCGCTGGAAATAAAATAGTATATGAAAGCATAAAAATCCTGCTGTTTCAACATTACCTCTAGCTAGAAATAAAATAGTTTGTGAAAACATAAAAATCCTGCTGTCCCAACATTATCTCTAGCTAGAAATAAAATAGTTTGTGAAAACATAAAAATCCTGCTGTCTCAACATTATCTCTAGCTAGAAATAAAATAGTTTGTGAAAACATAAAAATCGTGTCTCAACATTACCTCTAGCTAGAAATAAATAGTTTGTGAAAACATAAAAAACCTGCTGTCTCAACATTATCTCTTGCTGGAAATAAAATAGTTTGTGAAAACATAAAAATCCTGCTGTCTCAATATTATCTCTAGCTAGAAATAAAATAGTTTATGAAAACATAAAATCCTGCTGTCTCAACATTATCTCTAGCTAGAAATAAAATAGCTTGTGAAAACATAAAAATCCTGCCATCCCAACATTATCTCTTGCTGGAAATACAATAGTTTATGAAAGCATAAAAACCTGCTTTCTCAACATGTTCTCTCACTGGAAATAAAACTTGAGAATACAACTTCAGGTCCCTTTTCCACGCCTTTGGGAATATAGGACTAGACCTATATTTTATAGACCAATCAACACTGGGTAGGTGATGAACAACTTAGGGCAAATAAAATAAAACACACAGCAACACAAACAATGGACACTGATTCCAGGAAGTACAGGGTCAAAGGTTATGAAGATGTTCCCTCAAATGGATCCTGGGAGATCAAATGGATCAGTGGAGATTTCCCTGTGTGGGTTGTGGGTTCTGTATTTTGGGAGGGAACAAGAAATACACCCACTGGCCTTTATGTTGATTCAATCCTTTAGTTGGTCACTAAGCTAGAAAATACTTCAAAGATGAAAGAAAATATATAATCACAAACATCTGGCCAGATAATGTTTCGCTTACCCGTTCCTTGACGGCATCACTATCCAGGTCTGGCCCCAGAGTGCCTAACCGAACTTCCTTCTGCATTCTGCGATAGTCGTTCAGCCCGTAAACTTTATACCAGGGTCGATCACTGTCCTTGACCTTTTGCTTCATGTACATGTCCATATAACTGCCAGCCTAGAATGTGGAACAGTTAAATTCATTACGTCCTTCTTAGGACGTTATTTTTTGTTATTTGAAGCCCCACTCTGGCTTTTGCCAGGGGCCGCAATATAGGCAGGTCATCATTATGGCCAAATGTCTGAACGCGGTTTCTGGGACCTCTCCACGGTGATCCTCACCCGCATGGTGGCACTTTGTGTCATCGGGTGTTTATCGCTTGTGTGATGTCCTGGTGGGGTAAAAAGCCATTCCATTCCATTCCATGTGGAACAGTTGCTGGTTGTAAAGCATGGGATGCAAATGTTGTAAACCGTGAGTTGTAGGAGCATGGGATGCAAATGTTGTAAACCGTGAGTTGTAGGAGCATGGGATGCAAATGTTGTAAACCGTGAGTTGTAGGAGCATGGGATGCAAATGTTGTAAACCGTGAGTTGTAGGAGCATGGGATGCAAATGTTGTAAACCGTGAGTTGTAGTATAAACACTGTGAGTTGTCAGCAAAGCAACAGTTTAGTGAGAAAACATGAAACTGCATGTGTATGCAGAGCACCCCAGACAAGGAGAACCCACCAGGACCCAAAAGATAGGTATTTTTTATCATAAATGCCTCTTATCCAGATAAGAATTTAAGCAAGAAATATGCCGGGTATAACAAATTGTTCTTCACAACAGAGATTTACCACCTGCGAGATCGCATGAAGCGGTCGGCACTGAGTGGATCCTCTAGCACCCTGGGGTGTCAAGTCAAAGGTTAAAGCCAAGAGGATCCCCTTCACTACACCAGGTTTTTTATTCCATATAACTCGGTCTCTTTCTGCAGACTGGCTAGCCACGCAGAACATGAACTCTGTAGCTCCAGCGATGATCCCCAGGGATCTTCGTAAAAATTGCAAAATTGCACTCGTGAACTAAAGGGCACAGCCGTGAAGTGAACCCTCGACTTTCAGAGCTTGAGGCAAATGGCTTGACCACTTCGCCACAGAGGACAGTCTGACAATGTAGCATGGAAGAATATGGGTATCAGGGACAGTCTGACAATGTAGCAGGAAAGAATATGGGTATCAGGGACAGTCTGACACTGTAGCATGAAAGAATATGGGTATCAGGGACAGTCTGACAATGTAGCATGGAAGAATATGGGTATCAGAGACAGTCTGACAATGTAGCATGAAAGAATATGGGTATCAGGGACAGTCTGACACTGTAGCATGAAAGAATATGGGTATCAGGGACAGTCTGACACTGTGGCATGAAAGAATATATGTATAAGAAATTACTGGCAGTACAGGAAACATACAGCTGTGGAAAGACATAATGAGCGATTCCGCACATGGTCTATGACAAGAAGAACCTAATGTGCAGGTTGTGAAAGACAATTAAGAAGGGATGGTGTGAGACTGGCTACTGGATTCCATAGGAACCTGAGCCTACAAAGGACTTGATGGGAATTAGTTGAAGATCTAGGCTTCATTATGAAGGGCAGAAGAGAAGGAGTTGCATGGTGTCTACTGGGACTGAAAGAACATTCGAGGAAGCTCTGACAATAAAAATGAAAAATCCTGTATCGTGCAAACAAAATTAGTATGCTTTAAATGTCAAACTTTCATGGTAACTGCATGATTTTCTTGAACTTATGGTTGTCAGATGTTTAGTGTCCTAGAGAAGATAATGTGATTTGTGTATTTCACTGGAAAAGATTCATTTCTTTTTGCTTCATGATATGTTTATGTAGTAATGTATCTGATGAGATAGGGCAAAATGTGCCTCGCAATAAACTGTGCAGTGTATTACAGAGCAGATTTTATAAGTAGAACTCACTAGGGACCCAAGAAATTTTCTTCTTATCAGAAATTCCTTATACAGATAAGAGTTGAAGCAAGAAAAATTGCTGGGGAGAAACAAATTGTTCTTCACAACAAAAATTTGCCACATCTGATCCCCTAAAACATTGTGTCTGTAGCAATGAACCGTGTGTGCTCAGCATATGTCTATTTGTATCTTTCTCTTCTTCTTCTCTGTTCACTGGCTGTAAGCTTCGGCAGAAAGCCCTGGTTGTTCGTCCATCTGGACTTTGGCTTTGTGCCAGGGCCTGCGTTTTTCGTCGTTTACATCTGTTTTCCTGACTTATTTGTGTGCAGTTGGTTGTTCCATGCCACTCGAGCAGATGAACTCTGACTTCAAAGGAAGTCCCCAGTTAATCGACTCCTACGATATGTTTGTTGGAGAGGCAGTGGGTTTATTCTTGTTTTCCCTATTATGGAGCCCTGAAACCCACATGGGGAACCTACTTGTATCAATGTAACACAATGTGTTTATTTATTTCATATTTGGTATGGGAATGAAACAAAAATTTGCCCAAATATTTTAAATGCAGCAGAGTATATGCCGTGTCTCTGAAAGCCATACATTATGCTTTTTTCACTGTCATATTGTACCCAATTGTGTATCTACTTTGAAACCATCTGGGACTAAAATGATTAAGCAGTCTCCACTGTATATTGTTTGTGTAACATTATTTAAATTCAAAGATTTGTGTCATTTTCTTCACTCTGCAAGTTGTCCACCATTCTATGCCACTCAATCCCCCACACCTTGTCCTGTTCTTGACCCAAACATCTATCCCAACTCACCTGGTCGGGTGCTGGAGCAGAAGAAGGATGGTCACCTCCTTGACTTCTACCTATGGGCGGGATTTTCCCATAGGGGTTCAAATCTGTGCGAGACTCGCTGAGAAGCCGGAGTGCCTCATCTGCAGAGTACCTTTCCCTTGGAGAGCCATGTCTGTAGTCATTGCTGTCACTGTCGTAAAACTCCTGTAGCGGGTATTCCTGTAGTTTGTAGGACAGAAATTGAAAGTTCCTTGAAACACAATGTTTTTTTTTTACACCATACATTTAAACACATTTTGAATGCAACCGTACATGAACATAAAACAAACTGCTGGCAACTGTGTCTCTATGGACCATGGAGTGGAGCTGCTGGTTTTCTGAACATCATCTGCTGTGAAAGTGGAAAGACGCGAATGCTCGAAGGCAAATTATCACAAACATCAGAAAGGGACAGTCAGCATTTGTTGCTCATGTTATGTAAAAAGTAAAGTAAAGATCCCTTTTCACGCCTTTCGGCGCATCGGGCTTATGGGCAGAGCGTCCCATATTTTTACAGACCGTCAGCACTCTGTGGGTAATGTGGTCAGCATTACGCCGGCTGTCTTTACTTTCCCAGGACAGCCCATCCTGGTACCCATTTTAGGCTGGGTCGACCTGCGACGTCCCATACCACGATAAAAATCCACGCAGCCCACTCAGGTTTCGATCGCGGTATGCTGGCTTACGAGTCGGACTCGCAACGCCTTAGCCACGGTTATGAGAAGAGGGAAAATAGAATATGTTGTGACCATTGGAAATATCTGTGGAAAGAGAGACAGAGGAAGACAGCAAGAAGATTCTTGACAGTCTTTTGTCATGGCATGCACAAACTGATACATGCAGTTGTTGATTGTGGAGAGGCATGATCGCCCACGCCAGTCGGCAAGGCACTTAATGATGATCTGCTGTAACTGTAAAGTATAATGTGGATGTAGCAGTCTCTGCCAGATAGTCCACACACAAAAAACGTCGATACTTTCTATTTGACTGAGGCTGGTCGTCACTCCGACATCTCCCCTCTATAGCTTGCTGCGTTTGACCTCTTACAAAATGTTACAGTCCCTCTTTCACCAGGTCTGCCTCCAACAGAATCAGCCGGCAGCTATCTTTCCCAGCTGTCTGTGTGTCAATGTTGATTTCTTTCAGCTCATGGTAATATAACAGGTAATGTAACAAACTGCATACAATCTGCACATACATTATTCTTCTTCTACCAAAAACCTTGTGCATTCACACACACACAAATAATTTTTGAAAGTGCTAAGCATCATGTGCCAGGTTAAAGTAAGCTGTATACAGTTTACTGCCCAGTGGCCAGTTAGTTAGTTGCGTATCCTTTACAGGACGTCGCAGAATCAAAAACCAGCATTTTTGTTGTTGTTGTTGTTGCTGTTGTGGTTTTTCTAGGCAAATTTACATCCAGTAGTTTGCCACTGCCTTCTGGATGGTCGGCTTCTCAATACCACTGTCGAAACCAACGCAAGGCCGGCAGCTGGAATCAAACCCGGCATTGCGAAGCTCGTTCGCAACGCTAAAGCCACAGACGTCCAATGTACTGGGGTTTAATCTCTATGGCCCGTTATATAGAAAAAAAAACCACTCTTGTGGCTTTCACACAGTGACACGAGAGGAGCACCTTTGAAGAGACTGTAACCTCCACATGTAATATCCCCCCCCCCCCCCCCCCCACTTCTCGGGACCATACAGAGTATTTTGTGTTTGTTTGTTTTAGTATCCAGAAGCCATGAGTTGTTAACCCATAGGCTCGGTATTATGGATATCGCATCCTTTCGGCCTTGATTCCATTGTAAATACCGTAAATCTGGAAGAAAATGTGGCTTTCCTGCCTACCCCCGGGATTGAACCCGGACCACAAGGAGTTCGTCACTTGGTCTCCGCGCAATCCGGTTTAGCCACCTACGCTAGAAAGCCGGGCATACAGAGTATTAAATGGCACATTGCTTGGAATAAACTGAGAGGACATTTTGTGTGATGCAAACTGGCACAGGATCGGAGCTGTTATGGGTTGGGGGGGGGGGGGATGTCTACACTGATGATTTGATTTGATTCAAGAACCGATATCACAGCACTCGGGGCATTCCCATAAGCGCCCCGTCCCCATCTTCAGCAGCTAGCGAAGAGTTCCGATACTAATGGTGCCAGTAGCATTCTGATTAAACGTCCATCTTGTCTTTCCTCTGAGCCTCGAGCATCTGCCAGAACCTCTCGTCATCCCCAACTGCATCAATCTCATCAGTCTACACTGATGTTGGAACCTCAACTAACTAACCAACATGTGCGGAATTAAAAATAGCAACACAAGATAGTCAACAATGGACAGGGAAGATCACAGCAGGACAAGATAGACAACGATGCACAGGGAAGATCACAGCGGGACAAGATAGTCAACGATGGACAGGAAAGATCACAGCAGGACAAGATAGACAACGATGCACATGGAAGATCACAGCAGGACAAGATAGTCAACGGTGCACAGGGAAGATCACAGCAGGACAAGATAGACAACGATGGACAGGGAAGATCACAGCGGGACAAGATAGTCAACGATGGACAGGAAAGATCACAGCAGGACAAGATAGACAACGATGCACAGGGAAGATCACAGCAGGACAAGATAGTCAACGGTGCACAGGGAAGATCACAGCAGGACAAGATAGACAATGGTGCACAGGGAAGATCACAGCAGGACAAGATAGTCAACGGTGCACAGGGAAGATCACAGCAGGACAAGATAGACAATGGTGCACAGGGAAGATCACAGCAGGACAAGATAGTCAACGGTGCACAGGGAAGATCACAGCAGGACAAGATAGACAACGATGGACAGGGAAGATCACAGCAGGACAAGCTAGTCAACGATGGACAGGGAAGATCACAGCAGGACAAGATAGTCAACGATGCACAGGGAAGATCACAGCAGGACAAGCTAGTCAACGATGGACAGGGAAGATCACAGCAGGACAAAATAGACAACTGTGCACAGGGAAGATCACAGCAGGACAAGATAGTCAACGATGGACAGGGAGGATCACAGCAGGACAAGATAGACAACGGTGCACAGGAAAGATCACAGCAGGACAAGATAGTCAACGATGGACAGGGAGGATCACAGCAGGACAAGATAGGCAACGGTGCACAGGGAAGATCACAGCAGGACAAGATAGTCAATGATGGACAGGGAGGATCACAGCAGGACAAAATACACAACGATGGACAGGGAGGATCACAGCAGGACAAGATAGACAACGATGAACAGGGAAGATCACAACAGGACAAGATAGACAACGATGGACAGGGAAGATCACAGCAGGGCAAGATAGACAACGATGCACAGGGAAGATCACAGCAGGACAAGATAGACAACGATGGACAGGGAAGATCACAGCAGGGCAAGATAGTGAACGATGGACAGGGAAGATCACAGCAGGGCAAGATAGTCAACGATGCACAGGGAAGACCACAGCAGGACAAGATAGACAACGGTGCGCAGGGAAGATCACAGCAGGACAAGATAGACAACGGTGCACAGGGAAGATCACAGTAGGACAAGATAGACAACGGTGCACAGGGAAGATCACAGCAGGACAAGATAGACAACGATGGACAAGGAAGATCACAGCAGGACAAAATAGACAACGGTGCACAGGGAAGATCACAGCAGGACAAGATAGACAACGATGGACAGGGAAGATCACAGCAGGACAAGATAGACAACGATGCACAGGGAAGATCACAGCAGGACAAGATAGACAACGATGGACAGGGAAGATCACAGCAGGGCAAGATAGTGAACGATGGACAGGGAAGATCACAGCAGGGCAAGATAGTCAACGATGCACAGGGAAGACCGCAGCAGGACAAGATAGACAACGGTGCGCAGGGAAGATCACAGCAGGACAAGATAGACAACGGTGCACAGGGAAGATCACAGTAGGACAAGATAGACAACGGTGCACAGGGAAGATCACAGCAGGACAAGATAGACAACGATGGACAGGGAAGATCACAGCAGGACAAGATAGACAACGGTGCACAGGGAAGATCACAGCAGGACAAGATAGACAACGATGGACAGGGAAGATCACAGCAGGACAAGATAGACAACGATGGACAGGGAAGATCACAGCAGGACAAGATAGTCAACGATGGGCAGGGAATATCACAGCAGGACAAGATAAACAACGATGAGCAGGGAAGATTACAGAAGAACAAGATAGACAACGATGGACAGGGTAGATCACAGCAGGACAAGATAGACAACGATGGACAGGGAAGATCACAGCAGGACAAGATAGTCAACGATGGACAGGGAGGATCACAGCAGGACAAGATAGACAACGGTGCACAGGAAAGATCACAGCAGGACAAGATAGTCAACGATGGACAGGGAGGATCACAGCAGGACAAGATAGGCAACGGTGCACAGGGAAGATCACAGCAGGACAAGATAGTCAATGATGGACAGGGAGGATCACAGCAGGACAAAATACACAACGATGGACAGGGAGGATCACAGCAGGACAAGATAGACAACGATGAACAGGGAAGATCACAACAGGACAAGATAGACAACGATGGACAGGGAAGATCACAGCAGGGCAAGATAGACAACGATGCACAGGGAAGATCACAGCAGGACAAAATACACAACGATGGACAGGGAGGATCACAGAAGGACAAGCTAGACAACGATGGGCAGGGAAGATCACAGCAGGACAAGATAGACAACGATGGACAGGGAAGATCACAGCAGGACAAGCTAGACAACGGTGCACAGGGAAGATCACAGCAGGACAAGATAGACAACGATGGGCAGGGAAGATCACAGCAGGACAAGATAGACAACGGTGCACAGGGAAGATCACAGCAGGACAAGATAGACAACGATGGGAAAGGAAGATCACAGCAGGACAAGATAGACAACGGTGCACAGGGAAGATCACAGCAGGACAAGCTAGACAACGGTGCACTGGGAAGATCAGGAAACTTCTCGACCAACCCCAGCGCTCAAACATCCCAGGACACAACCGTTACCTGCGTGCACAGATTCGCGCGCTACTGCACACTACAGAAACGGTCATATCATTTGCTCCACTTGGCGTTATGCGTGGAACAAAAACTCCGCATAATCCCACTTCACAATGCCACAACAGCCGCACCTAATCCCCTCACATTAACGAGTTTTTGCACAACGTTTCTCTTACATACAAAATTAAACATTCCGGAGCCCTTTATAATCCAGAGTTAATCCCGGGATTACATCTGTGAATGACAACGCAAATGCACATTTTCTCATATAGAATCGGGACACTCAATAAGTTTGAGGTTTCAATACAGAAGATCGTTGACAATTGTCGCCAAGTTGACAACTGTAGTAATGAACTACATGAAGGGGGAGAACGGACGGCGTGGTCCGTGTTCGATCAGGCACAGTTAGATTATTTCTGTTTTAGATCACGGTAAAACTCAGTTTTCGGAACATATATTCTCCAGGGGCGCTGCCGTATAGAAGTCATTCAACGGGGAGGGGGGATGGGAAGAAGGTGTAGACTAGTTATAATTTCTAGGGGTGGGGCCTCAAGATGCTTAAGCCTTGTTTAAGTACGCAATAATAAGTATTTTATGTTGAATAGCAAATAAAAATAACAGCATATTGAAATAATAATATTATTGATATAAAACGTAAAAACGATACTTAAAAGAGAACGTCCGTACATGGTTAGGGAAGAGCCCTTATTTACCGTACCCAGTTTCTAGGTAGGTGTCGTGGAAGCATCAGCCGCTACACCCCCCCCCCCCCGTATTTATTGTTGGAAGCCCTCAATGTGCCAGATCAGAAAGTTAAGGGGCCCCTGTCACTATCATATAGAGACACATAGAACTGTTCTATTTATTCAAAAACAACCTCCCGCGCAAATACTACAACTGCCATTATCATGTGCCGCAGAAAAATCCCGGCGATCCTCAATAGGATTGTCACTGCATACGTTCAAGAAGAAACTCTCACACAGAAATGTCATAGAACTGACACAAGAAGCCAGACACAAATATTAGAACTGTCATGACATGCTGACTAAGGAATCGACATTACAGCACTCAGGACAACCCCATAAGTGCTCCGTCCCCATCTTCAGCAGCAAGCGAAGAGTTAAAATTCCAATCGTACCAGTAAATGTCTGATTGTATATCCGTCTTGCTTTGAGCGTCTAGCGTCGGCCAGATCCTCTTGTAACTCCTCACAGCGCCACTCTCCCCAAACCGTAATAATCTATCTGTGCCTCGGCACTGTTCACTCGCTCCCAAAGGGCCCTCACAACATCCAGCTTGTCACACATTAGTTCACCACCAATTGGTGCAGAACCGGCCAGTCTATTCGCCTGCTCATTTCCCAACACACCAGCATTACCTGGAGAAAATATCCAAAGGATGCCAACTACCTGGGATCTTTGAAGTGACGCTTGCCACTCTGCACGGAGCATGCCTATCTTCACCTTTTTCAACATGCTCTGTGAGTCAGTTAAATGATGGCATGTGTGTACAGTCGATTCTCAAGCCAACGAAAGGCAGCAGTGACTGCCTCCACCTCCATTCTCAAACTAGACATTGCGCTATTATATGCCAGACTTTGCTACGCCAAGCGAGGTCCATTCACCTATGTCATGAACCCCTGGGCACTTCGTCTGCCTCTCAACACAGAACCATCTGTATATACAATCACATCACCACTATAACTGTAATGAAATGGACTCAAGAAGCAACAACCCCGAAGAGATCAACAGAAGTAGTTTATGTTTTTATCGTAAGCAATAAACTCAAGGGTTCGGAACTTTAGTCTTTTCCCAGAACTTTATTTTTGCGTGCACATCCGTTTTACGGAATCTGAAGTTTGAAGTCTGAACAATGGATCAACACGATGGCACATGGGTAGTAAGCCATAAGTGCTCCGTTCTTCTTCTAACCCAAGTCTGAGTCTACTGGTCGACCAAAATATTAGTCTAGCTTCATATAGCTGATTCACCACAGGCATTAAAAAAAAGGTGCTTGTCTTGTTTTACTAGAACTGCATCTCTCTAACAAGATGTCAGCTGCAGAATGTTTATAGAACCTGTCTCGTTTTACTAGAACTGCATCTCACTAACAAGATGTCAACTGCAGAATGTTTATAGAACTTGTCTCGTTTTACTAGAACTGTGTCTCACAAATAAGATGTCCACTGCAGAATGTTTATAGAACCTGTCTCGTTTTACTAGAACTGCAACTCACTAACAAGATGTCAACTGCAGAATGTTTATAGAACTTGTCTCGTTTTACTAGAACTGCATCTCACTAACAAGATGTCAACTGCAGAATGTTTATAGAACCTGTCTCGTTTTACTAGAACTGTGTCTCACTAACAAGATGTCAACTGCAGAATGTTTATAGAACTTGTCTCGTTTTACTAGAACTGCATCTCACTAACAAGATGTCAGCTGCAGAATGTTTATAGAACCTGTGTTGTTTTACTAGAACTGCATCTCACTAACAAGATGTCAGCTGCAGAATGTTTATAGAACCTGTGTTGTTTTATGCATGTGAAACATGGACAATAAGGAAACAAGTTGAAAAACATTTATTTATGGAAGAGGTGTGGTTTTATAGAAGAATTCAAAAAAGGATATTGTGGAAGGATAGAAGAAACAAACAAAGCAGTTCTCATCGAGTCAAATGAAAGTCGTAAACTTATTATACATATATAGTCAATGTTGTCTGCACATGTTAGAAAGAATCGACTCAAGAACTCGGTGACAACTGACAAGATTGATGGAAAGAGTGCAAACGGAAAGTAAAGAAATAAATAGCTTGATGGCTTGGGGTGAGACAAAACAATTGAACTGATCCAGGTATCTGGTGATTGAGTGAGAAGGGGAAACATAATAGTCTACGCTTACCGGCGTGGCACATGATGATGATGATAAATGCACAGATATGTATTCATTAGTGCTCTAATTAAGAAGTAAGTCAGCATTGAGTACAAACTACACTCAGAGGAAAGGCAAGGCAAGACGGACATATAACCAGATTGGGACTGGTACCATCAGTATTGGAACTCTGTGCTGGCTGCTAAAGATGAGGACGGAGCATGCATGGGAATGCTCCCAGTGCTGTGATGTAGATTCTTGACCAACTCAACTCTGTGTACGAACTCCATAGCACGAGCGGGGATCTCAGAAAAAGTCAACAATAACAGCAAGAGTCAGGGATGTACAACTTACCAGCGCTGGCATCCCACTTGTGGTTTGCTGACCACCGCTGTCATCATAGTTGGTTACTGCAGCTGGATACTGTCTCCCGTGGCCCCTGTAAAACTGTGGTTGTGGATACTGTGGAGCTGGATGCTGCAGGGGTGGATGCTGTGGTGGTGGGTGCTGTGGTGGTGGTGGATACTGTTGTGGCTGTTGTTGGTACTGGTAGTGATGCTGAGGCTCGCCGAAAGAAGGAGGGGAGATTAACTTAAGATTGACATCCACACTTATCCGTTGTCCATCTTGTGTGAGTAGATGCTGGACGATTGGCTGGACCGTCAGCTCTGTCTGGTGTTGGGGTGTGGTGTTGTGTGGTGGGGCCGCCTGTAGGCAAGAGAAATGTGTGGGGGAACAAAATGAACAAAATAAAGTATTTAATTATTTTTTTTTTTTGAAGTGTTGACACACAGCATCACGTATTTGCCCCCACTGCATTCAGGTAAAAAAAAAAAAGAACAATAACAACAACAAAACGGACATAACATTTTTAATTTATTAGCAAATGTGAATCAATATCTGAAGTTTAAGACTTAGACTGACAAACAAACAGATAAATATATAGAGAGATATAAGGTTAGACAGACTATTCCAGAAGATAATACATCTTGATAGTAGTTATGGCAATTCCTATTATTATATAATGATGATGGTTATGGTGATGATTATGATAATGATAGTGATGATTATGAAGGTGATGATTATGATGGTGATGGTGATGATTATGATAATGATAGTGATGATTATGAAGGTGATGATTATGATGGTGATGGTGATGATTATGATAGTGATGATTATGATGGTGATGGTGATGATAATGATAATGATGATTATAAAGGTGATGATTATGATGGTGATGGTGATGATTATGATAATGATAGTGATGATTATGAAGGTGATGATTATGATGGTGATGGTGATGATTATGATGGTGATGATTACGATGGTGAATGTGATGATTACGATGGTGATGGTGATGATTATGATGGTGATGATTATGATGGTGTTGGTGATGATTATGATGGTGATGATTCTGATGGTGATGGTTATGATGGTGATGGTGATGATTATGATGGTGATGATTATGATGGTGATGATTATGATGGTGATGGTGATGATTATGATGGTGATGATTACGATGGTGATGGTGATGATTACGATAGTGATGGTGATGATTATGATGGTGATGGTGATGATTATGATGGTGATAGTGATGATTACGATGGTGATGATGATGATAGTGATGATTATGATGGTGTTAGTGATGATTATGATGGTGATATTGATAATTATATTGGTGATAGTGATGGTTATAATAATGATGATGATAGTGATGATTATGATGGTGTTAGTGATGGTTATGATGGTGATAGTGATAATTATATTGGTGATAGTGATGGTTATAATAATGATAGTGATGATTACGATGGTGATGGTGATGATAATGATAGTGATGATTATGATGGTGTTAGTGATGGTTATGATGGTGATAGTGATAATTATATTGGTGATAGTGATGGTTATAATAATGATAGTGATGAGTATAATAATGATAGTGATGAGTATAATCATGGTAGTGATGAATATGATGGTGATAGTGATGATTATGATAGTGATAGTGATGATCATGATGGTGATAGTGATGATTATGATGGTGATAGTGATGATTCTGATAATGATAGTGATGATTATGTTTGAGATAGTGATAATTATGATGGAGATAGTGATGATTATGATGTTGATAGTGATGATTACGATAATAATAGTGATGATTATGATAGTGATGATTATGATGGTGACAGTGCTGATTATGATAATGATAATTATGATAATGATAGTGATGCTTATGATGATGATAGTGCTGATTATGATAATGATGATTATAATAATGACAGTGGTGATTATGATAATGATAATTATGACAAAGATAGTGATGATTACAATGGTGATAGTAATGATGAAACAAAATGCTGAAGGTAAGAATATCAATGACTAGAATGACAAGATACCCACCTGACTGTTGACGCTTGAGCCGCTGAGCGGTGTCGGCATCTCTGTCAGGAAAGCCCTTGTGTCTGGTTTTGGTGGCAGTAGTCTCTGCTGCTGCGGTCGGTGTGGTTGTTGTTGCTGGTGCTGCTGTTGTTGCTGGTGCTGCTGATGATGTTGCTGTTGTTGAGGGGTAGTCTGAAAGGACTGTTTTCTATGGGGAATGGATGTCTGTAAAACACATTAGTGCTTGTTGTAGCCGTAAATGTTGCTGGAGTAGTAAACAAATGCAGCAAAGGTTGTTATGGTGGTGGTAGTAGCAGCAGTAGTAGTTGCTGTGGTGGTGGTAGTATTGAGACGTTGCAGTGTTTGTCGTGACAGCAGTGGCAGTAGGAATCTGTAACACGGAGTTTAGCCGCAGCAGCAGAAACGGCATTTAAATTTTTTTTAAAAATCCAGAAACCATGAGTTATTAACCCTTTGGCTCGGTACTATGGATATCGCAACCCTTCGGCCTTGATTCCATGATAGGTACCGTAAATCTGGGAGAAATGTGGCTTTTCTGCCAACCCCCGGGCGTGAACCCGGACCACAAGGAGTTCGTCACCCGGTCACCGCGATGTCAGGTTTAACCAACTACGCTAGAGAGCCGGGCTAAAGTCACTACTAGTAGTAATTGTAATGCCAGTTTTAGTGGAATATCCAGTCGGACGTGATAATAACTACAGTAATAGTAGTAGGAGCAGTGGTAGTAGTTGTTCAGTTGTTCAGTTGTTATTGTTGTTATAAACAATAGTAATAAATTTGATGAGAGAATAACTAAAAAAATATGCCAGTGTTTATATTTTAAAATAAAATATAACCGAAGTATGCATCGTTAGGCAAACTTAAAAATAATTTTTTATTTCTATTCTTTAACTTGAGGGAAACGATCTTAAACCAAAACTAAACTTAGATTCAGATCACTAGAGATACGTGAGCGATATTTCTGATTATTAGACACGAGACAGCGGTCTGTCTCATCTCACTTAACCCTTTCATGATTCGTGCTGAGAAAGGTGGGGTTGGCAACTGTAGCATCAGAGGTCCCAAGTAGCTGGCGTGCTCTGGGTGTTATCTCCAAGCTATGCCGCTGTGCTGGGATATGAACAGGTAGACTGGCTGGTTCTGCGCCAGGGTATTGGGAATAATACAAGACAGCTAGATTGAGTAGGGGTATTTTGGGAGCGAGTGAACAGTGAAAAAAAAAAAAAAAGCAGCAGATGTCTTTGTGGCGGAATCTGTGTTTGTTTGTTGAATCAGGTGTCACAAAATTAAACTGTCACTTAGACGATAACTGCGGTTACTTGGAGGTGAGAAAATCGCGTATATGTGGCGCATATGGAGTCCCACTCGCTATGCAGCAACACAGTGTCGAATCATGTACCGGCTACCGGACTGGGTAGAATGTTGTTGCTACCCAGCCGGACCCTTCCGCAGGTACAGGACGCTTGGGGAGCACTGCCCTAGAAGGTGAGAAGTGAAGTACAGGAAGTAGACATCAGGTTAACACGCACAGACATTACCTGGCTCAAAGAGGAATCACTGTTGAACTTGTGCAGACCGCCAGGCCCTCGGCGCCTGCCTCGGTTGCCGCCCCCATCAACTTTCTTGGCCAGCGTGGAAGATCTCTGAGCCCACACCTGTCATCATCATCGTCAACATTATCATCATCAACATCATCATCATTTTCATCACCATTATCATCATAGTTTTTATCATCACCAATATCGTAGAGATATAAGGTTCTGCTTCCTGCTCGTCTGACCGCCTCAACAGACGCATGGTGCTGTTATAGAGTTTCTCTAATGTTATCTTTCCACATTGTTGTTGATCTACCTCGTGCTTCACGTCCTTCTCTTTTGGTGTATGCCTTGTATTGTATGTCGTCATAGGGCATTCTCTCTAAGTTGGAAACCCTTTGATCCGCTGTCTTTGTATGTAAGTTAGACCTGGTTCTCTGTGGACTTTATCTCTGATGACTTCATTCCTGGCCTTATCTCTTCTGGTCACTACTGCATCTCTTCTGGTCACTACTGCATCTCTTCTCTGACATTTAATTTCCATGGTTACTATTTTCATTTCTCGTTTGTCGTGAGTGACCACGTCTGGCACTGTTCGCATAGAGTGCGAATGAAAGTGATTTGTACGAAATCTTTTTTTATTTTTTTATTTGACCACCACAAGTCATATTTATCATCATTATTACAATTAACGCCCTCATTACCACCATAAATACCACCACCACCATCATCGTCATCATCATCATCCTCATCACTGATAATACCACTATCACATCTTATCATTACTGCCGTCGCATTCACGACAATTACGACCAATACTATTATCATAATCAGCACCAATATTACATTTACTTCTCTCATCGCCAAAACCACGACTATGACGACGATAACCACATTAGCATCACCAAAATCAACATCACCGTCACAACTATCATCATCACTTTTATGATTATGACTATCGCTACAACCACTAGCAAAATAACATCAGTATGTGTCAGATACGACTGGCCCCAACTTTCAATCCTGGAACCGGTAGTGGTACCATATAGAAGAAACACGTCTGATGACTAGTTCACCATTCGCATCGATACAATCAGCAATGTAGCACACACTAATTACATTTCTGAGTGTTCGTCCATTTCTGGACTTTAGTCTTGCTCCATAACCTCAGTTTTGCCTACATATCTCTTTTTACAGATCTTGCTTATTTGTGTGCAGACTGTTGGTTCCTCGACTCTCGTAAAGATGCATTCCGACTCTGACAGAAACACCCGTACAGCACAGTTGTATTGGGTCAGCACACAATGGTTAGGAATGAACCTGTTGTCCTGGGGGAGAGGGGAGGGGGATGGTGTGCTGTGTGATTTCTCTTTATCCATTAGCCTAGCCTGTTTAGGAATCCGTCGTGGTGTAGTGGCTAGACGCCCGCCTCTAGGTCAGAAGGTCGTGGGTTCGAATCCGAACGGTGCCGAACATTTTCCTTTAAAAAACGAATTTGCCTCCCAGATTGACCCCGCCTTAAAAAAGTATCTGGTAAAGTCCTGGGAAGTAAAGCGGGCCGGCGTGATGCTGACTACATCAACCACCTAGTGCCGATTAGTTCATAAAATAAAGATCCAACCCTATATGCCCAATGCGCCTTAATGCATAGAAAATGGGTAGTGTACTTGACTAGCCCGTGTAAAGTTGATATTCGCTTTGGCTGTATTTTGTTGTCTAGCCACAGTTTGTGTAATGTTAGTCACTACTTGAGCCTAGGAATGTCTGTGACAATCAGAACAGAAGAATGTTCACATAATCTCAGTACCACAACAACAACAACAACAACAATAAAGCTAGCATAGCATGCAGTAATCTTGAAACAGACAGGTGTTTGAAGCAGATATGGACATGACATAAAAACTAAAACTGTGACAGAACCCAGCAACCGAAACAAATCCACTGTAGTATAATACCATCCTATAAAATTATGGTGGTGGAAATCAATGAGATATGTATAAGGCGAATCAAATTACTGTGCACACCGCTTGAGGCGATCGCGGATGTGGCACATTTCTGTTGTGAAGAATAATTTGTTTACTGCCGGCAATTTTTCTTGCTCAAACTCTTATCTGGATAAGAGACATTTCTGATAAGAAGAACCATTTCAATGAGTTCTCCTAATCAGGCCGGCATTGCAATGGGTACAGACGTAATGGTGGGGGGGGGGGTGTACTGTTACAAGAAACAACTACGACAATCTGACAAATTATCAAGTGAAACGGGTGTGGTTACTCTAACGCAAACGGACAGACTTTAGTCTTTTTTCTTCTAGTCCTGTTCTGCCTCTCAGAGTCGGGTGTTGAAGAAGCGTCTGGTGCCCGTCGTTCTGCCGGGTATATGCTGGTATTCACGGCCTCTCACATTCCGTCTATCCAACCCGTCGCTTGCACTGGCGACCTCTAGCTCTGCCCCGTTAGTCTAAGTGACAGGGCACTCCGTAGTGAACCAACTTGTGCTAGCCTTGACTAATGTCCGAACCATTTGATCTATTACACGGACACAACTACAGTGTTTATATTGTCACTGATGTGGCAGTACAAGGATGTGAGTCATAGGAAACATAGATGACGACACAGGTATGTAACAAATACAAGAATTATCTATCAATGAAGCACATGAATAACACAGATCTCACCTGCTCTGCTGCCGTCAGATTCTCATCGTTCTCTGGCTGACAGTTGAGAACATCTGCTCTGTCGGCACCTTGATCTTGACTGTGTTTCTTAGCATTCCCTTCTTTAGGTTTACGTTTGGGCTGAATGAAAACCTCTTGCAGACGCTCCTTTTCTTCTCTGGTCGTCTCCAGAATTTTTATGTAGCTTCTTGGAGGTGGCTTGCCAAGGTTTTCTTTGTTACTTGTGACATAATCATACTTTGACGGTTTGGGCTGTACAGCCTCCATCGGCTGCTCAACATCTTGTTCTTCTTCTCTGTCTTCATATCGTTGGTGTACATCATAAGCAGTGTTGCCAACATTGCGGTCCGAATTTGGGTCCTCATCGAAGTACTCCCCATAATTCACCACCTCCTGTTCGTGATCAAACTGTGGATTATAAAATCGAGGTCTTATTTGTGGATTCACCCGCTGCTGCCGAATATCCACAGGGTCTGTATAATCCTCACTGTCAAAGTTGACATTGTCTAAACGGCTGCTTCGATGTTCAGGAAAGTTGTGGTTGTTGGCGCTGAGCGATGCGAAGTTCGGAGGTAGTGGTGGTGGTGGATTTCTGAAAGGGTTTACAGACTGATGCCGGTACTGCTGCTGCTGCTGCTGTTGCTGTAGCTGTTGCAAGCTGTACATGTTTAGCGAGTCGTTGACAAACCCGCCGCTAAAACTCTGAGCCATATCATCGCTGGGTTCATCGTCAAGCGAATCTTGCACATAATCTTGTGGATCATACTGATGTGGAAATCGATCTGTGTTGACTGGGATGTCAGGAATAGTCGTCTGCTGTGTTCGCCTGTTTCGATCCTCAATCCTTAAACGTAATCCTGTTTAGAGAAGACATAAGGCGGGTTGGAACCTGTTGAATTTGTTTTACATATCAGATTTAAAAAAAAAAACACGCACGCACGTATACTGTTTATGATGACCGGCTTTCCGCTAAATCTCTCTAATCGTGAAATGAATCTTAACTTCTGTTCTAACCATATATCCCATCATTCATTACACTATATCCGTGTGTGGTGTATGTGTGTGTGTGTGCGCGCTTGGCTCCGGTGGGGGGGGGGGGGGGGGGGAGGTTGGGAACTTCACATCCGAGAAGAAACATGGAATCACTTCTCAACCTTTTGGCTAAGGTCAACAGGACGGATCTAACAAACTGGGAGAACCCAAACAGCAAATTAAAACTCCAGTTTTGGAACAGATCCAGAAGTGGACGAATAAATGGAAGTTTCCGCGCAAGTTTACAGTCGGTTAGCGTGAACCATAAGAAGCAGAACAAACCGCAGGTGGTCGAGATGCCGAACTGGTGTTATGAGGATCCACCCAGAGATCCCCCCCCCCTTTTTTTCCCCCATGTAACTAGGTTATATTCAGCGTCGCATACTCTGCATTTTTTTGGCTGTTGTCGTTTTTTAAGGCACATTTTACGTTTAGTAGTTTGCCACTGCTCCCTGAACGGTCAGCTCTCGGCACCACTATCGAAAACAATGCAAGACGTTCCGCTTCCAAATCGCCCCAGCTGGCATCGAACCCGGCACCTCGGCATTACGAAGCACGTTAACAACACCGAAGCCTAAGGTAAAAAAAAAAAAAAAAGCGTTATCAGCTTGTACCTCAGTCTCAGGCAAATGTAGCTCCAATGTTCCCAGTGTGGATTCCGCGGCCCCATTGTGGGGAGGGGGGGGGGCGGGACAAGAACAAATCCAAATCCTCTCCAAAACGCATTTCGTAAGAGTCGACTAAGTGAAAACCTCCTTCGAAGTCAGAGTGCATCTGCCCGAGCGACAACGAACAAAAAAACCAACTGAACACAAATAAGCCAGTAAAACGGATGTACACGCCAAACTCAGGCCCTGGCACAACGCCAACGTCCAAAAGGACGAACAACCAGGACCTTCCGCCGGAGCCCACAGCCGGTGAGCACAGAATAGAAAGAGTAGCCCTATAGTAGATATTGGCGCTGGCATTTGAAAGCGTTCAGTTTTCACATAGCCAACACTAGGCAACGGCTTTCTGGCGATACTAGGAGGTCTGATGTTTGAACCCAGCTCCAGGCAAGAATTACAAAATAATAATCTTAGCACCCTCACTTAAAACTGACAGTCTAAAACCGATATCGGAAAATGTTCGCTGGAATAGAAATCGGCCAGGGACCACCAGGGCTGCCAAAATTGGTCCTGTCGTACACATTTTGTACTTTTTTTTTTACCCTTGCCGAGTAAAACTAGACTTTGGGTAAAACGCCGATGTGTTGGTACGTTTTAGAAATATTGCAACAATATTTTAACTATTTGCATTTTACGCTGGATCCAGTAAGTGTTACTGAATGAAAACCAACGCCAATCGTGCCATTGGTAATTACATTTTCCAGCCTTGTAAAAGAACATTAGAAATAAATAAATAAAGACTGGAGGGAACTAACAGTGCAAGATCAACTAACTAATGCTTAAAAATCACCTGCAAATGTTGTTAACAGTTTAAGAATAAAAATGTTGAAGTGAAAATCGCTCTCCATTAGTCTACATATTTATGTTTAGACTTTAGGCATGACCTCATTTCCCTGCAGCTGCAGAAAGCGTTTTCTATCTACTTAATAAACTAAAGAATCATTTTTCACGACTTTATGCATATTGTGCTTATAGGAATAAACCTATATTTTACAGATTAACTGGCACTTGGGTGGTGTGGTCATCACAACGCCGGCTGCGTTTACTTCCCAGGACTTTACCTGATACCCACTTGGATCGACTAGGGAGCCAAGGTCATTTTTGACAAAAGTCCAGCTCTATCAGGGCCCGAACCCCTGGTCTTCTGATCCGCAGGCGAGCATCTAGCCGCTATACCAGGCGGTTCCCGTATCGGCTTAATGATATTGAGAAAAATATCTATCTTTGAAGACTTAACAATAAATGCATTGATGAGATAAAAGCTATTGCTCTGGTGATAGATAAAGCAATGATGTAATGAAAGATTTCAATTCAGATCAAGTATAAGCTTGTCCACTTATATATTTATATATATGTATATATATATATATATATATATATATATATATATGTGTGTGTGTGTGTGTGTGTGTGTGTGTGCATATGTGCGTGCGCGCGCATATGTGTATGTGCGCGTATGTGTATATGTCTGTGTGTGCTTAACGTCTTTCAACGGTTTTTTGTTATTTTACTGAGAAGTTGAAATTTAGTACTTTCTCAAGTTAAAAAAAATGCTGTATTATTCCCGAAAAACTTTCGACAGCCCTGTTGAGCACATCATCCATCGAACAGTCATTATCCTCGGCCTCAGAACAGGGCACAACCGATTACGTAACCACGTGTACACAAAATTCAAGATAGGTGTATCAGCCATGTGCACCTGTGGAAAGGTGCCCCAGACAGCAGAGCATGTACTCCAGGACTGCACCGATTTTGACACATTAAGGCAAACTTTTTGACCAGAAAGAACAACAGTGGAACGTAAACTCTATGGACCACTGAATGAACTAACAACGACAGTGAAATTTATACAAGAGACAAAACTGCTGATATAGACAACTTATTTCAGGCGAACGAAAGAAGAAGAAGATGAATCCATCGAACAGTGACTGAACTATACAAATATAACTGTCAGAACCATATATTCAACAGACCCCTCCCTAGGATTGGGTAGGATCCCACGCTTACTGCCGACAACCAACACGGAATGTCAAAACCTAAATTAATGAAAAATCTACTTCAAAACTACAGCCATTATCAGAACCAGGTTAAGCTCTATAAACAATAGCTGAAATACCTCCAGCAGACGGGAAGAAATACACGGACTGCATGTTACGGCGACCAACAGAACAATCTGGAATGTTGGAGAACTTGTATTCACCGACACGGCGGCTCCTTCTTCTGTAACTATGGCAAGGGACTGTCACAGCTCAGTTCCAGATTTGGCCGCGTGAAGCCAAAACAAGGAACGCGAGGGAGGGCTAAAGATGGTTAAAGTAAAACCCACCGAAGCGAAGAAAACCAGCCCCGCAGCAATATGTTTAGAGGCCGTGGTGGGTCAGTTCGAGTTCCATCACTCTCACATGTGTCACCCATACATATCTCTCTACTCCTCCCCCCCCCCCCACTCTCTTATTTTTTCCCCTTTTCAGTTAACGAGAATGGAACCAACGATGCCAGCATCAAGAGCATACAACATGAAAATCGAAACAACAAGAGGCAGGGGAAGACCAAGAAGAATATGGATTGAAGGAGTCACGGACAACTTGAGACTTCATAACATCACGGCATATGAAGCGACTGAGCGCGCCCTGGCTCGGTTGCCGATCATCTGATAGACTGCGACGCCTAGCGGCACAAGCAGATTTTGACAAAAGAAGAAGTTAACGGAATGGGGACAATAGAAACAAAACATGTCAAGCGATCATGCATCCACCCCAGGTTCAAGCAAACCTAGTTCGTCTTAGAATCGGAAGGTCGTGAGTTCGCGTCCTAATGGAGCCGGAATTTTTTTTCAAAAAATGACCTTGACTACCAGGTTGACCCAACCTTGAGTAGTTACCAGGCAAGTACTGGGAAGCAAAGGCGGCAGGCGTAATTATTTACCACATCACACACCAAGTGCCGATTGGTCTAAAAAAATATAGGTCCCAATACGCCTAAAGGCGCGGAAAAGGGTCCTTAAATTTTTACTCACGTTATAACGAGGGCTGACTGCAGTGTATTGACTACCGTCTGTAGAGACGTTATGTGGTACAAGTCAAGTGTGGAGTATTAACAACTGACCTCCCAGTACCCGGGAAATACCCATAAGCTTTCTGTCACCATCTTCAGCAGCCACGTTCCAATTCCGATTGTGCTTGCAGCACTCTGACTTTGTGTACGCCTTTCTTTTCCGCTGAGTGTCAAGTGTCGACTAGGTCTCCTGGTCACGCTTGAAACTATAATGATCGATTCGTGCCTCTTCATTGCTGACTCCTCTCAAAGAGCCTTGACATCTAATCTGGCAGGCATAAATTCACAACTCATTGGGTGCAGAATCAGCCAGTTGGTCTGCCTGTTCATTACTGTACACTCCTGTATTCCTAGAGACAATATCCAAAGAACGCTAAATACCCGGGGACTCTTTGAAGTGATGCCTGCCACTCTGCCCGGAGCATGCCTTTATCCACCTCTCTTTCTCAAAACTCCTTGTGAGTCAGTTACAATCATATGTGTGTACAGCTGGTTTTTAAACCAGTGGAGAGCAGCTGTGACTGCCTCCACCTCCATTCTCAAAATAGATGTTTGAGTATCATACGTTAGACTTGCTGCGTTTTAAGTGTGGTCCATTTGTTTTCGCAATGAACCCCCACCGGCTTCTACTTCTGGACACAGAGCCACCCATACAGATAGTGACATCACCTGGACAGGTAATACAATCAATCAATGGTTGAATTTCCTATTCTGCAGTGCCTGCTTGCCAATCCCTGCACTCCCGGTCAAGTGTAAAGGTAAAGTAAGGGACCCTTTCCCACACTTTCATGCGTAATGGGTATATAGGGCTAGACCCAGGGCCAGATTAACCATTAGGCACACTAAACACATGCTTAGGGCATCACTCAGGATGTCAATAGGGACTGACTGACTTTCTACCCCACCAGGACATCATCATCATCAGGTGCCTTGCCGACTGGCGTGGGCGATCATGCCTCTCCATAATCTGCGATCACCTGCAGCATGTATCAGTTCGTGTGCCGACATACCTCCATGCCATGCAACAAGACTGTCAAGCATCTTCTCTCGTTGTCTTCCTCTATACCTTTTTCCACAGATCTTTCAAGTGGTCACAACATGTTCTATTTTTCCTCTTCTCATAACATGGCCGAAAAATGATGACTGTCTCCTTCTGATGTCTGTGATAAGTTGTCTTCGGGCTCCCGCCTCTTTCAAAACCTCTTGGTTGCTCTTTTTGGCTGTCAAAGGTATTCTTCTGTAAAACCACATCTCTGAGGCCTCTAAAAATTGTTTGGCCTGCCTACCGATTGTCCAGGATTTACATCCATATGTTAAAACTGGATGTATGCAGCGAGCAAGAATTCATTTTCTAACTCTCAATGACAAGGATCTATTGCACAAAATGTTTTTCATTTTATAAAATGCAGATTTTGCCTTTCCAATTCTGTTTCTTATTTCAGTTATGCATCTTCCATCTGATGTTATCCATGTGCCCAGATACTTAAATTTCTGTACTTGTCCTAAAATAACACCATTGACTTTTTTTACACATTTAGGAATAATTTGTTTCTTTGATACCACCATTACTTCTGTCTTCCCATTATTTAAACTGAGGCCTATTCTTCCACTTTCTAACACCACAATGTCTATCATTTCTTGTAATTCTTTCTGACTTGTTGCTATCAAGACTGTGTCATCAGCATAACGTAAATTGTTTATATTGTGCCCACCAACCACAATTCCGGGCATACCAATTAAAGATCTCATTATATATTCACTGTATATTGAAAACAAATCAGGTGAAAGTAGACATCCTTGTCGTACGCCCCTCTTTATGCTTTGAAATGTACCTAAACAGTTGTTTATTCCTATAGCTGCTGTTTGCTGCCAATACATATTCTTTATTATTCGTAGATCTTTCCCATCAATGTTTAATTTTTCTAACAGTTTGATTACTTCTTCATGCTTCAGTCAAATGCTTTTCTATAGTCTATGAAGCTTAAGTACAAATCAGTCTTTACTTCTGACATCACACAAGCAACAAACACACAATGTCACAATGTGCCACCATGTGGATGAGGATCACTGTGGAGAGGTCCCAGAAACTGCGTTCAGCCATATTTATAGCCGGGCCATATTGCGGCCCCTGGCAAGAGCCAGAGTAGGGCTTCAAATAAGGAAAAATTTCATCCTAAAAAGGACGGGGATCGATAACATGGGGACAACAAGTAACAAGGTCAGGTGAACAAGAGGTATACAAAGAAACAAGTGGGAAGATAATCATAGGCAGATGTGAGCAGTGAGTCCGAATGTACAATGAAATCGAAAGACAAAAAGTGTTTGAGATGTCAATCTTTAATGTTGAGATGACACTGTCATTTAACTGACTGAACAAATGGGAAGAAATGCAAGTAACGGGAACGCTGGTTACAAAGGACACTGCCTACCTTGTTGATAAGATGTCTCCCGTTTCAGATCTTCTTCGTCCACTGGATCATACGTTGGTCCTGTTGGAAGTGATAGTCCACGCACTGGAGGTGGGTTGTTCTCTTGGGGAGGCTTGGGATTATTTCGATGTTGTGGATTTGAAGGCTGCTGGAAAATGGGGTTAGGAGGATGTTGCTGGCTCTGATTTGAAGGATGTTGATTTAAGAGCTGGGGGTGTTGATTACCAAAGAACCCATGCTGGGTGATCTGCCCCTGTTGGAGTAATCCCAGATGTTCACTGGGCTGTGTCTCGGGTTTATGATCAAGTCCTTGGTGTTTGAGGTGACCCATCTGTGGACTGTTTGAAAAACCCTGGGGTTTGTTTAAATTTCTTTGCTGGTTTGAATTAATAGGGAAATCTTGATGGTTGTTGAAAATTTGACTGTGACCTGGATCTTGGAGTGAAGCAGGATGGTGTTTGTAGACTTGATGCTGATAACTTATGTTTCTTGGATCTGTTTCATATCTGCCAATCTGGTTTTCTTTGTTAGCCTGTTCTTCTCCCAATTCTGTATTCAATCCTGACGGAGCTGCTTGCCGAAGTTGTCCAACATTCTGTGCGTGAGCATTTGTCAATGGAAGCTGACCACGGACTTCTGCATTCATTCCCTGACCATCAGTGTCCTCATATCGCTCGTCTACATTCATGTATCTCACACGCTTCTGTCCACCAAACCTGGCTGCATACTGCTCCTGACTGTCCAGTGCTGCCATATCCAGCTCCCTGTACGTGTCCACAACTTCGTCCTTGCTGTCTTCAAGTCGACTGGTAACAAATCTGTACACTTCCTCCTCCTCCTTGGTAAAAACAGGGGATTCAATGTAGATCTTCTTAACAGATGGTGTTGTCCGATTTGAGCTTCTGAGAGATCCTGCAGCCTGGCCAGACTCTACAGTGTGATGTGAGTGCTGGCTGCTTCCTTCAGCTGAATAATTCCTAGCAGCAGCCTGTTTAGCTGAATGTCTTCTGAGGACAAACTCTCTGTGATCAGATTCCTCCAGCTCTGCTATTTTTGAAGCGTTCAGTTGAGTGAGAAACTCTTGCTCTTGCTTGTTGGTGGATGGAGCGTTTTGAAACCCATGAGTAAAATTCTGTTTTTGCTGTACCTTGTTGGAAAGTGCACCTCTTTTCTGCAAGTCTACACCAGGAATTAGTGTTCTTTCACTATCAATTGCAGCTACACTTTCCCCCTTCTTTATCTTATCCCTATTATCACCCAATTTGCTGTTTGAACTGTATTCTGTTAAACTATTTTTCAGCAAGCTCACACTAGCCTGATTATTTTGTTCCTTCTCTTGATTATCTTCACTAGAGATATCCTTCTTGTCAGTTTGGATAAAATCTAAACTGTCTTTCTCAATGTCAAGGATATCAGAATTAAGACTGTCTTTGACAAGAGAGACACTTTGAGATCTTTTACCTGTGTCTCCCTGTGATTTGAGTCTCCGGGACAGATAAGAAATATTTGCTCTTGGAGTCAGTGTGTCTTGGGAGTTTCGGCTTGCGTCTCTGGTCAGCTTTTGTAGTCTAGAGTTGATAACTTCAGACTGGCTACTTCTGAGAGAAAGCTGTGGAGACTGTTGTCTATGAACAGGAGGCAGTCTGTCACTTCTGGAACCTTGACCCAGACTTGACCTGACTTGTCTTGCAGGGCCCCTAGCAGCTACAGATAAAACAGATGTTGTGATGTCACTTGTAACTTCTCCTTGATTAGAATGAGAAATGTCCCCAGTTCTGTATTTCACTGCTGAACCCAGACTTTTCTCTTGTAAGTCTATGGTACCACGTGTTGACCTAAGGGTTATGTTACCTCGTGGCTCGTAGTCTGGTGAGTTCACTTGGGCTGAGCTTGCAACAGGGGTGCAAACTTCAGAAGTTTTATTACACTCAGAGTTATCCTGCACTTCTTTGACAGTATCCACTGATGGGGTTACACTGTGATGTCCTTGGCTGCTATCCTCTGATGGGGTTATACTTTGATACCACTGGCTGCTGTGGTAAGGTGTAGCTCTTCTTCTGTTACCTCCACAAGTCACTGAGTCTCTACCACTTACTGATATGCTGCATCTCCTTACTCCATCTCTGTCACTTTCTGCCCTACTATTCTCATTGTTTTTGTCACCTTGTGATGGCAGAAGATGCACAGGAGATGAGGGGAGAGAACTCTCTTCAAAATCTGCATTTAGTGAGCTTCTGGAAGGAGTTTTGAGTCTTGCCAGCTCAGAACTCACAGACCCCACAGTCTCACGATCAGATTCTGAGATATCTGACAACAAACTTGGATCTTCCACAATAAGGTTTTTCCTCTCAGCCAAACTTCTAGTGCTGAAAGTCTCTCCGGAAAGCCTCAATTCTTTCCAGGGATTTTCCTTGCCAGTCACATCAAAATATTCTCTAGCATTTTCCTTTATAATTCCTGTATTTTCATCAACAGAGGAGTCTGAAATGTTCACATTATCAGCTTCTTCAACATCATCAATTTTATCAGTTAAGTAATATTTCTCCTTTCCTTCACTGTAAGAAGATTTACCCTTAGCATCACCGGAATCAGAGATAAAAATGTTCTCCTTGAAACATTCAGGTTTTGAGATGTCTTTTTTTTTATTATTAAGTAAATTTTTAATATTTTTAGAATGTTCAGTATCTGGATTTTTCCTGGGCTGGTTAGGAAATTGTGTATTTATGTCCTTTCTCTCTGCGTCTGCTGGGAACTTCCTGGGTGAAGGATGCTTGTTATCCTGGTTGTGAGGGGAGACTTCCTGCAGAAGTTTGAAGAGTTCTGGATTATCCGCACGGATGGTTCCTTGGTTGCTGGATGCTTTAGATTGTGGTTCTACATGTCCAGTTCGCCAACTCATGATCAGCTTAACCTCTTCATTTCAAGCCATTCTTGCCTCTGTGCTGCAAATAAAAAGAAAGCTAAATGAAAATAACATGGTTTTAGTATGTAGATATAAATACAAACTTCAGCCTCTTTCAACAATCATATCAGTCCTAAAATATGTCTGTATATACACATTTCTTCTTTTACTCCTCTTCCTCCTCCTTCTTCTTCTTCTCTCTTCTTCTTCTTCATCTTCTTCTTTTTCTTCTTCTTATTCTATGGCTGTAAACTCTGGCTGAAAGTTCTGGTTGTTAATCTACGTCTAGACTTTGGTCTCTTTTCTGAACTTAAGTTTTGCAAACACATTTGTTGATACATCTGGCCTATTTGTATGCAGACTGCTGGTTCCTCCCTGTGACGTGCGTAGCTTGATTCGATTGTGACGAGCGTAAAAGTGACTAGGGGTTGTCGCAATGTAACAAAAGGCATCAACACTTAACATGCCACTGGCCAAGAGTAACACAACATGATGAATGCTGAAGCTGCCAAACGTAGCGGAACGAGAACTCTCTTTAAAAGTTCCATTTGTGTATTGACAATAACGATGATCAACACAAGGAGAAAATGTGCAGCTACTAATCAAGATTCATTCAACCAAAGCTCGCTCGTACATCCATGGACTGATATGTCCTCAAGATAGGTCGCAGTCCGACCTTGAGATCCAGACAATCATCTTTGTGTTCAGTTCATCCGTCTGAATTAAATAATGAAGGTATACCGGCTTACTGCCGAAAATGTAACGTTCACCAGCTTCCTGCTGAGGTCTATCTTGGAGTCCCGGGGTAAAACGTCCTCAAAGATCCAACTTTATATAACGTTTGCTTCCGTGGGATCCCGGGGTAAAGCGTCCTCAAGGATCCACACGTCCGTCTCCTTCGGACTATAAACATCAACTGCAAAGTATACCGGCTTACTGCCGAACTGTGGCATCCCGGGGTAAAACGTCCTCAAGGATCCACCGTGGCATCCCGGGGTAAAGCATCCTCAAGGATCCACACCAAGGCCGGACTCAAACATCCGCCTTGGTCAAACTTCGACTTTCATCTCCTAGAATACAATTCCTTCACTACCTTTCGTATTGTTTTGACGTCTTATTTGCTCACTCCGTATTGGTGCGTTCTGGTGCAAATTCGCACGCGACAGCCAGCGAGTCTGTCCGCCTGTTCATTTCCCAACACACCGGGGTGACCCGGTGAAAAAATCCAGACATTGCTCCTCACTTGTGTCCTCCGCAGCGAAGCATGCCACTCTGCACGAAGCATACCTGTTCTGATCTTCCTCAGCATGTTTTCTGAATCCGTTACAATCACGATGTGTGTGTGTGTGTCGTGTTCTCTAGCCAGCGGAAAGCTGCAGTGACCGCCTTCACCTCCACTCTTAAGCTGGATGTTGTGGTATCTGCACGTGGTCTACCCGCCATATCGCTTTCATCGTCTGTAATGTCTCAAAATTGTCAACGGTCACTTTTATCGTCTGCTACTATTGTCTGCAATGTTGCGTCTCTTGAAATTGTCCAGTAATCCTAGTTTTGCCGTGATTTGTTCCTTGGCAGAAAGTCCACATTTTTCATTGGACTGAGCTCCGAACGGATATTTCAGGCCGCCATAATGCGGGGGTAGAAGTTCGGAGGAGAGCCCTTTTTTCCAGATTGTATTCTAGATAGTATTTCTTCTCTCAGCATGTTGGAGCAGTTGAAGTTTGCACCCAAGTACTTATATGTTTCCATTTGTTTGATTTTCATATCATCGACTTGCATGTGTACGGAGTTTATATCCTTCCCCTGTCTAGTCCCATTTTCTGAGCTGATTCTCTCAAGAGTCAGTGTTTTAACAGTCTCTAGAGTTCATTTTCTCCAACGATTTCAATGTCATCTGTATAACCTAGTATTCTTGTAGATTCTCCTCTAGTTCACTCTTGTTTCAACTTTAATTTCTACTTTCATTAAATAAATATATTCTAGATGACATGAAAACTTAAAAATGCATTAATTTAAATTAAGTGCTTTTGCCTTTGCTTTATGAGGGCGCTAAGGCTTCGCTTCACTTGTCGGCTAATTCGTATATACAAGTCACAGTTTAATGACAATACCCACCAGGCAAGAGCAGATATACTCAAACTGTGTGTGACTCGTGTTGTGTATAACAAGAAAAAGAAGTGACTATCTCAAACAGACAAGAGTCTTCACTTGTTCACCAATAAGCACTCGACATTACGCCATTGAATCTAAGGACGCCGGAAGTAAAGACCAGAAATCCTAGCGGCCATGTTTCGTTGCTATGGCATTAAGCCCGGAGCGTTGTTGGCGGAAGTCCACTGGCTGAACAATTCAAAAATTATCAATAGATTACTGATTCAATCAGGTACGATTCAGCATGAAAGCTTGGCTGCAGAGGGACCTCTGACACA